GCAAGGCAGTGGCGCAGTAGGTAGTGCTGTCGCCTCACAGCAAGAAGAAGATCGCTGGTTCGAACCTCGGCTCAGTTGGCGGTTCTGTGTGGAGTTTGCATGTTCTCCCTGCCTTCGCGTGGGTTTCCTCCGGGTGCTCCGGTTTCCCCCACAGTCTAAAGACATGCGGTACAGGTGAACTGGGTAGGTTAAATTGTCCGTAGTGTATGAGTGTGTGTGTGTGTGGATGTTTCCCAGAGATGGGTTGCAGCTGGAAGGGCATCCACTGCGTAAAAACTAGCTGGATAAGTTGGCGGTTCATTCCACTGTGGTGACCCCGGATGAATAAAGGGACTAAGCCGACAAGAAAATGAATGAATGAATGTTTATTCATTCATTTTCTTTTTTTCGGCTTAGTTTATTTATTAATCTGGGGTCACCACAGCGGAATAAGCTGCTAACTTATCCAGTATATGTTTTACACAGCGAATGCCCTTCTAGCTGCAACCCTAGCTGCATCCCTTATATATATATATATATATATATATATATATATATATATATATATATATATATATATATATATACGCAGTATATATATATATATACACACATACATACATACATGTTTGCACTGAGTAGTGAGATGCACTTATTCTCATCGCACATGTATATAATGTACATTGTATACAGTATGTGTAAAGTGACAATAAAAGGCATTTTATTCTATTCTATTCTGTTCAAATTTAATTGGAAAAAAACTATATTATTCATATTTGACCCATCGATGGGTTATGACAACACAATACTGTTACTCATGCTCGTGTACTGAGAAATGGTAATTCCAACATAACATTTTAACTATATCTCAACTAACAATAATTTGAATGTCTAGACTGTCTACTTATTATCTAATTAATATAATTATGTAATAGATGGTTCCCAACCAGACATTCTACAGACATTATTCTAAGAATTTAGTTTCAACTACTGCAAGGGCAGACATTGCACCCACAAACCACAGGCTGGATGTCTACAGCACACATAATTGCAAGCACATCTTAAGTTTCAAAGTTGTCATCTGATTCTACATTGTATTCTACAGGATTTCCAAGAGACAAGTGTGAAATGTTCTTTAATGGTCTGACTTTAAACAAGCCACCATGAGGCCAAACTTTAATTTAGAAAAACATTATTTGTGGACAATGATGTTAAATTATTTTCTTTATTCTCTATTTTTACCTGGGGATACTCATCCCGAGGTCCTCAGATTATGCGGAGTCACTGATTGGATCCAAGACCAGCGACGTGATGATCCTAAGGATTCCATATCCGGGACCAGGCCATATCCTGAGCTGCTGCTGCGCTAATGGTCATGGGGAGTTGAGAACATGAGTCTGATTCCAGCGACGCTCCAGGGACAGACGAGTCTTCGCTGAGGCCATCTTCCAGCCTAAACCACGGCGAATGAAGCTCTGCACAAGACTTTTGGCCAGCGGAGAAATTAAAATGGTCGTGCCCAACTGAGTCTGGTTCTCTCAAGGTTTTTTTTCTTCACTCCCATCAGGTGAAGTTTTTTTTCCCTCTCCGCTGTCGCCACTGCCTCGCATGGTTCAGGATTGGTAGAGCTACGCATCGATGAATTGGCTCTTCAGTGTTTGAACTCTCAGTAATGATTAAATCACACTGAACTGAGCTAAACTGAACTGAACTGAACTTAACTGAACTGAACTGAACTTAAACACTAAAACCTGAACCACACTGCTCCAGTTACTGTGACCATTTATGTGAAGCTGCTTTGACACAATCTACATTGTAAAAGCGCTATACAAATAAAGCTGAATTGAATTGAATCATAACTGTTCCCTCTGTGATAAGCAATAACTTTTTAACATTGTATTACAACATAACTTCTGCTAACTATATGCTCACTCAACATTTCAAGAAGGAATTCATGAAAGCTCTGAAGGAGAAACAAGAAGTTTTAAACATAAATCCCTGAGTCCAAAAGGTCTCACTTGTGCTGAGAACTTCTGGTACCAATGGCCCAAAAGGCTATAGAAGCTGTTGATCGATTTTGTCCACTCACATCTGGCAATACACACACACACACACACACGCACACACACACACTCACTTACACATAAAACCTACAGATGGTGAAACACACTCACCCACACATTCAATTCTGCTAGTCCATATCTCATGTGTCATTACAGCTGAGCAAGGAGGTAAAACAAGCTGTCTTGATGCCTGGGGCTTAAGCTTGCTGGGAGATAAATTGACTTTTTAAGAAGTTCCGAAGAGGAAAGCACTTGTGTGAAAGTCCAAATTTTAGCTTTGTCCACCAGAAAGTATCAGTATTGTTTTAATTTGTCAATTTTTATAACATCAGAAGGAAATTGAAAAGCAGGGAAGCAGAATTTTTGAGTATATGAAACAAAGTTTGCAGCCGGAAGGCAAAAAACCTATGCCAGAGTAATTAGTTGTTAATTCTACTGTGGCAACCACTTATAAATCTGGAACTAAGCTGTATTTTTTCAGTATAATAAAAAAGATGGTTAGTTGCACACATATGGAAATATCTTATTCTGTTAACCAAATGTCAATTTTTTGGGTTGTGTTAACTCTTTTAAATACAGTAGGCAATGGAAAATTGAGGACAAAATATAATTTTATCACACTTGCAAAGTTATGATTGTGACATACACTCACCGGCCTCCTTATTAGGTACACCTTACTAGTGCCAGGTTCAGTGCTCTTTCACTTTCAGAACTGCCTCAATCCTTCTTAACATAGATTCAATAAGGAATTGGAAATATTCCTTAGAGATTTTAGTCCATATTGACATGATAACATCACATTGCTGCAGATTTGTTAGCTGCATGTCCATGATACCAAATGTGCTCTATTGGATTGAGACTGGTGATGGTGGAGGCCATTTGAGTACAGTGAACTCATTGTAATGTCCAATAAACCAGTCTGAGGTGATTTGCGCTTTATGACATGGCACATTATTCTGCTGGAAGTAGCCATTAGAAAATGGATACACTGTGGTCATAAAGGAAGGGACATGGTCAGTATCAATACTCGGGTAGACTGTGGCGTTAACACAATGCTCAAATAGATCAGTAGATTGTCTACATTCCTAATTGCATTTAGTTGCTGCCATGTGGTTGGTTGATTAGAAATTTGCGTTAACGAGCAGTTAGAAAGATGTACCTAATAAAGAGGCAGTAAATTTGATATGCTCACAGTGACAAACTTTTTTAGATAAATGATTAAATAAAACATTGAGGAACATAAACAATCTGATATAAATGTAATTTAATTATTAAATTAAAGCAAGAAATATTTAATATATCATTTATACTCGAGAAGCTTAAAAATGTTCTAGAGCACTGGTTCTCAAGATATGTTTACCACTAGTAGTACGCGGGCTTCCTTTTAGTCGCACACGGAGGAATCAAATGTGTCATAAGTACATGCTATATATATTTCAAAATTTATCAAAAATTATTTATATATGAATATGGCATATAATAATATTTATTATATAACATATAGCCTATACTTATGAGGTCCAGGCAACATTTTCAGGTGTTGATGAATTGGCTACTATATACAGCACTTTTCTTTTTACCTAAAGCACATTTTAATTTAAATGTTGACTTTTTTTGTTTGTTTGTTTGTTTGTTTGTTTGTTTGTTTGTTTGTTTGTTTGTTTGTTTGTTTGTTTGTTTGTTTGTTTGTTTGTTTGTTTGTTTTACATATAAGCAGAGTACAGTGTTAACGTTCAGACTATTTATGTTTCAAGTGGCTGACAATAGTAAATATTCTTAATAATAGGAATTAATCTGACACATTTTTGAACTGTGCAGAACTGTAGCTGCTTTACTGGGCTTACTACCCTACTGTATTTCAATACTGCTCATTATGGTGGTATGGTGGTAATTGAAGAGACAATTTTTTTTCTGAGGTGGTACTTGGTAAAAAAGTTTGAGGACCACTGTTCTAGAGAATAATCTATATCAAATCCACCTGAATACAATTAACATATAGATTTTTATTTAATAAAAGAAACCGCGGTAAAACCTGCACAAACACACACAACTCTTCATTACATTCATGAAGGCTCTATAGGAAAAAAACTCAAGGCTCATTTGAAATGGAACAATAACCTTGACACAGAAAGATAAAGGATGAAGGGAGAATTATGCACCATGTGGTTGTTTGTGATGCCCAGCTGAGAACATTAAAACACTAAAATTCATTATAATACACCAAAACACCTTCAGATATTTCATAAGATGCACTGATGCAAATCCAGTCACAAGAAATGTGCTTTGTTCAATCTTTTTTTAATGATGATGATGCTTACAGAAAATGAACAACATTCATTCAATTATTTTCTTGTCGACTTAGTCCCTTTATTAATCCAGGGTCGCCACAGCGGAATGAACCGCCAACTTATCCAGCAAGTTTTTACGCAGCGGATGCCCTTCCAGCCGCAACCCATCTCTGGGAAACATCCACACACACACACACTAAGGACAGTTTAGCCTACCCAGTTCACCTGTACCACATGTCTTTGGACTGTGGGGGAAACCGTAGCACCCGGAGGAAACCAACGGGAACGTAGGGAGAACATGCAAACTCCACACAGAAACGCTAACTGAGCCGAGGCTCGAACCAGCGACCCAGCAACCTTCTTGCTGTGAGGCAACAGCACAACCTACTGCGCCACTGCTTCGCCCTAATGAACAACACGAAGATGAAAAAATTATAATTCATTTCAAACAGATCATCTCAATGTTGTCAGCAGCATTAAATTAGCTTAAAAGGTTTAAAGAATAATACAAAATCTCTCTTGTATAGGCATTAGCAGTGTACCACAAGAGGACAGACTTAATGAAGAAAGCAATGGGCCCAGATGAACCCTAGATAGGACAACAGAGAGGTTTCTAATTACATTAGCAGTATCTCTCTCTGTCTCTCTCTCTCTCTTTATAGGAGTGTGTGTGTGTGTGTGTGTGTGTGTGTGTCTATTTGTGTGCCGAAGTGAGCGACCAAAAGAAAGCGAGCAAGAGAGATCCAGTTGCATTATAGGTTGACAACAGCCCTTGTCTGTTCACCTGTGGGACACTTGTGACCTTCATACTAGAGTCAGGTCACAACATCAATGGAGGCACACAAATCCTCACCATGGACCTGATGGGGAGAAAAACTGCAACATTGAATAAAGCAGAAATCACCTGGCTGTGCTGGACTCTTCAATGACACAGAGAGAAGCTCCATGCTGGCAGGACACAGAGGGATCTGAAGGAGCCAGAGCAGGTCAGTGAGATGAATAATGTAGAAAAACTGACCTAGGAACACAGACTGCACAGTGCTGATGAATGCTAGCGATCGATCTTCTGTGTAGAAAACACCTGCTAAGAGATTATAAAACACAACACAGTGCAACGAGCATCTTAAAAATAGATACTGCTCACAAGTTTGTGTATTTTATTTATCATTATGTATTAATAATAACCAAATGTTATAAATACATGTATATGTTATAAATAGGTTTTAGCCCCCTTTGAATTTTTTCCCAAATGATTCAGGAAATTTTCACGGTATGTCTGATAATAATTTTTCTTCTGGAGGAAGTCTTATTTGTTTTATTTTGACTAAAATAAAAGCAGTTTTTAATTTTTTAAACCATTTTAAGGTCAATATTATCTGCCCCTTTAAGCTATTTTTGTTTTGATAGTCTACAGAACAAACCATCGTTATACAATAACTTGCCTAATTACTCTAACCTGCCTAGTTAACCTAATTAGCCTACTTATGCCTTCAAATGTCACTTTAATCTGGATGTTTAAGTGTCTTGAAAAATATCTAGTAAAATATTATTTACTGTCATCATAACAAATATAAAATAAATCAGTTATTAGAAATGAGTTATTAAAACATAATGTAATGTAAAATATTATGTTTAGAAATGGATGAAAAAAATATTATTTTTGTTAAACAGAAATTGGGGAAAAATAATCATGGGGCTAATAATTCTGACTTCAACTGTATATATATTACACACACACACAAACAAACAAACACACACACACTGACACTCACTACATAACAAAATTCTTGTCACCTATTCAAGTTTTAGGAAATAACAAATAATAATTTGACTTCTAGTTGATCATTTGATATCAGAAGTGGCTTATATGAAAGGCAAAGGCCTCTAGATTACGCTTATTTTACCAAAATAAAATATGATCATGCCTTTAGTTTTAATTATTTTATTAGTACAGTAAGGTCTGACTTTGCTTAGACAAAAGTCTTGTCACTTAACAGAAATAATGTACAGTATAGAATATAAAGTAATGGTGCAGTGGGAAAAAAAAAATTATATTGTGTATGACTCTTATGAGCATGGAGGACTGCATCCATACATCTCTGCAATGACTCAAATAACTTATTAATAAAGTCATCCGGAACGGCACAGAAAGCATTCTTGCAGGACTCCCAGAGTCCAAGATTCTTTGGATTCATCTTCAAAGCCTTCTTCATCTTATCCCAGACATGCTCAATAATGTTCAAGTCTGGTGACTGGGCTGGCCAATGCTGGAGCATCTTGAACTCCTTTGCTTTCTGGATCTTTGATGTGGAGACTGAAGTATGAGAATGAGTGCTATTCTGCTGAAGAATTTGCCCTCTCCTGTGGTTTGTAATGTAATGGGCAGCACAAATGTCTTGATACCTCAGGCTGTTGATGTTGCCATCCACTTTGCAGACCTCTCACACGCCCCTATACAGAATGTAACCCAAACCATGATTTTGTCTTCACCAAACTTGACTGATTTCTCAGAGAACCTTGAGTATATTTGGGTTCAAATGGGACTTCTGCAGTATTCGTGATGATCCGGATGCAGTTCAACAGATGATTCATCTGAAAAATCTACCTTCTGCCACTTTTCCAAATGGTCAATTAGAAGTCAAGTAATTATTTGTTGGTCCAACAACTGGGATCCATGACCAAGCTTTTGTCAGGTAGTATATTTGTACCCATATATAATATATTTATATACACTAATGTGCTTTTTTAAAGTTATTATTTTTGAGTCATTCTTCTTCTTTTATAAATGTCTTTAGCTGCATATAATATACAGTTATAATAGATTTAATCATTTTAAATAATAATAATATATACAAAATTACAGAGATAGAGAAAAAGACCTCCTGTGAAATTTGCATTATTTTTCAAATATGTCCAAAGTGATTTCTACTGAATTAAGTCTTCTTTTAGTAAATGTTGGAAAAACAGAATTTTTATACATATTTTAATAAATCCAAAAACTAAGGTCAATATTATTTGTCCCAATTGGCTATAGAACCATGTTGACTATAAGGTGATTTGCCTAATTAACCAAACTTGCCTGAGGTAAATATTTACAATATTCAAACACTTCTCATTGGAGCTTGTCACATGATCCATTTGACACCTCTCACATATAAACAAACCAACTAAACTCGCACTGCTGTTTGGTAAAAAAAAATCCATGTGGTTAAACAAAAAAGTATCATATAGAACTTTTATTGAGCACATTTTCATATCATAATATAAAGTATATATTTATTCACCCAGCCTTATTTTACAACTTATATTTATGGTTTAATATATAGTGTTCAGTACACACTGTTCAGAATATTTCTTGTATGTCAATATAAAATGTCAGTAAAAAAAAAAAAAAAAAAAAAAACGCATTCCTAGGAAAGTCATCCATCTGTTGTGAGAGATGAAGGCTCTTACAGTACATACCCTTCTGTAATGAAAGAAGAAACCAAACTAGCCACGAAGCAAGAAGTGGATGGCCCAGATGCACAACAACAAGAGAACAAGCACATCAGAGTCAGTTTGAGAGACAGACCCCTGACTGCAGCTCAGCTGGCAGCCTTAATGAAAGCAAGTCCAGCTTTATCTGCGTTACAGACATGAAGACTTTCAGATGCTTGCCTTTTTACAGAATATAAAACATCTGACTCTGGCAAACAAAATGACGAGGGAAGAATGAGCAAAAGTACAAACAACTGGTGGTAAACGAACTGCAAATAGTATTATGGAAGGTCAAGCTGTTCTAGATACTGTTTAATCAAAAAAATGTGTTCTATAAAGCAGAAAATATGCATCGGTTTACACGCGGTTAAACACTTTGGCTTTTAATTATTATCCGTTTGATAGAGTGCACAGACAAAGAATTGTCACATGCATACTAGAAAGACAAATTTTGTTCAGTATCTTCACTTCACTTACAGAACTATGAGCGAGAATAATGCATTTATACTTGTTAGAGTAGTAGAGTTTTTTTTTATATGCTCACACATGCTCTCATCATTGTCTATATCTTTTATTTATGTTTTTGTTTTTACAAAGCAAAACAACATCTTTTTTAGCATTTCACAATGTAGCCACAATGCAGTAACATTTTTTAAACATTTCAAAAAGTGTTTACTTGAGTTTAAGTAACAATGCAAACTGTTTACTACTGGCTTATTACCTATATTTTAAGATATTAACTCTTTATTAACACTTATAATGTATGATCTTTTTTTACATCCCTAATATCTAAACTACCACATCACTAACTATTAATAAGAAGCTAATTAGTTTATTGAGCTAAAAGTCTTAATGACTTGTTTATAGTGTGGATTGCACATTAAAATAAAGTGTGACCATTTTTAAATACTTTAAAATAATGTAACCAAAATAAAATGTCTTTAAAATGTAAACAATTAAATAACATGTTTGTCTATCACCAAAATATGATCAGACCAAACTGCCACTTTTTGTAATAATTTTGTATTCAGGTGCTAAAACAATGTAATCTGCATGTTGGAAATAAACCAAAAAAAATAAAAACAGTACCAAAATGGTTTATTGAATGTGTTTATTTTCAACATAGGCTCATTCTGAAAATGTACCCCTGTAGACATTTCTGGAGATCGTGAATTATGTAGGCAGAAGTACATTCGGCTGCATTTTGTTTTTAAAATGAATGCTATGGGACGGTATGATGGCGTTCCTTTTCACGCTTACCAGCTGACCATTTACCTCTATATGGACGGCTTTACCGCTGTTACCAGTTTGTTCAGTTACAGTAGCTTGCCATGTACATTGGTGGACTTAAGATGCAGAGAGTACTTGACCACGATGGGTTTGAGTCTGACAGAATCCAAAAAAATAAGATAAGCAAAAGTAATAAAATAAAGTAAATAACAGGGTGAAAATGTAGTAAAATCTGAAAATGTGGTTCAGGGAAGGGGTGTGCATCAGTCAGTCATTCAGTCAAACAGTCTGTCGACAGCGTCCTTGGTGGATTTACGCGATGACAGCAGGTGCAAATGGCACTCACGAGTGAAATTCCACAAAATCTGTGGAAATTTTTGCGCATATTTTGGACAAAATCTACAGATTTATGCGGAATGATTTTTGCAGTGTAGTAAAAAAAAAAAACTTAAAACCTGAAATAAAAAAACAATTACTTTTTATTTCAGGCTTACAATGCACATCTAAATATATCTAAATAGAAGTCTCACATAATATATCTACTAAAATACAGAAAATGTTACTTTACAAATGGTAATTTAAATAAATCACATAAACACTCACAAATTACTTAATAATATTGCTGAAATTAATATAAAACCTGCATAAATATATATTTTACACACTTACATAGGTTAATATACTGATTTATTGATGAAATAAAATAATCTGCAAATTTCTGCACAACCACATACAATATTTATTGTGGGCCTAAATATAAGTGTAAAAAAGCCAAAAATGTAGGTAAGCATGCCCTAGCAGGTAAAAATTATGCAACAATAGAGATAAACAACTTTTTTTTTCAAACTTTTGAGCAGTAGTCTGTATACAACCTGAACAATGTTTTGCCACTACAACTTAAGAAACTGTTCTAAAACCAACAGTGCCTAACATATAAGTCAATATAAATAAAGCGGGAACTGTGTTACTGTCTCTGGGCATTTGCTGTTGAAGTATCACTTACTTACTTTTAGAAGTAAAATGTTGCTGGCTGTTTCAGGCAAAGCCGAAATAGCAGTTAACTCTTCACCTTGTTTGACTGAAGAAAATCTGTTGTAAATATTTCTGGCAGTTCTCCCACCATTCTCCTTGAGAGCAGAATTTGGCAGTCCAGGATGATGCAACAGATCTTGAGAGACATGTTTGTAGACCCAGAGCTTCTGGCAGAACTGAATGAGGAGCAGAAGCAGATTCTTTTCTACAAAATACGTCAGGAGCAAGTGCGACGATGGACAGCGTGTGAGGGTAGTTGGGAAAATCCTCTGGTCAAGGAGAGAGATGGTGAGTCCAGCAAGGCAATCTTTCCTTGGTCTACTTATATTCTTTTACTGTTGCTGTAGGTATCATACACCCCTAATAGCAACCATTTAGTCATTTTACCAAAAAAAGATATGTATTGTTGCTTATTTCATTGCTTATTATCATAAATTATACCATATAATATTATTTATTTATTTCCTCAATTGTCAGTTGGCCAGATGGTGATTAATCTCCTTTAAATTTTTCAAATATGGGTGTTCAGGACCAGTGAGTTTTTATAAGCTTATGAACAGCTGTTCTTCACTGAAACTAAGAAGAGATTTGAACCTACAAACAGCATTTGATCATTCGCAACTTAATAAGGGACGACTTGGGATTTATTTGACCATTTAATGATTACGGTTGTTTATGCTGGGACAAATACACATCTGATATTTTTACTCACATCATCTGACACATATCAGAATTTGTTTAAACCACTTCCAAATGTATTTTTTAAATATCAGATACTGTGCATACAATCTGATATCTGGACATCTGACTTGCATCTAAACATAAATCCAATTCTAGTGGAATTCCAAGCCGCAGTAAGGGTGATAATCTGTTCACTTATTAGCTATTAAAACACAGCAAGTGCATAAAAATCCTTTCATGTACCTCCTTATTTTATCCAAATAATACAAAGTCCTAATCATAATGTTGCTTCAACATCAATAAGACTACAATGCTGGGTCAAATATGGACAAACCCAATCTTTTGGTTACTTTTTTTTTTACATCATTTTCAAAACTTCACACTTAGCTGATGATTTATAATAAGCTTGTTTGGCATGCTGTCCCGGGAGAGAGCCCTGAGCAGGGCAAGAGAGGAGATTAAGCTCAGTTAGATCTCAAAAACTCCCCCGCTGAAGTTTCTAAGGTAAACTACTTTGAGAAGGAGAAAAACTGATGCTGGGAGCTAGACTATGGTGCACAAGGTACAGTTGCCTCGAACCGGGCCAAAGCACGCTTGTCCCCCTCCCGTCTCCCCCGATGGCCCGCACTCACACCACAAACGGGCCTGGGCACGCTTACGTCATCGATGCTGCACTGTTCAGTGAGAAGCGCTGTCACTCAGCACAATGGAGATTTCTCTAGTTATATCGTTTCAGTCGTTTGATATGCAGTGGCATACAGTCAAATATTTCGCCAAACAGTCCTTAGGGATGCAGTGACACGCAGTCAGATATTTCGCCGAACAGATCCGCCACTTTTGGCGCTCATAAACAATCATAAAGTCGTTGTGCTGCAGGAATGAGGAGGTCTGCTGAAGGTGCGTAGCTGTAGTGCAGTGAGAGTTTTGCGTCTTTAATAATCCACGGCAGTTTGCTTTCACTAAACAGTAAAAATGATTAATAAATCCATATGAAACAGTCCCCTAAAAGTCACGTCTCGCTTGCAGAGGCCAACTGAACCGCGCTCAGGCCCACCTCTTCCAACTGGGCCAGGGCCTGCCAAGTGAACCGTGCCTGAGCCCGATTCAGCGCACTCACATTTCTCAAACGATCCGGGAATCGGGCCTGGGCACGATTCGGATAGCATAGTGTGAGTAGGCCCTCAGTTTACATATGTCGCATTTCTTTGGACGGTGAGAAGAAACTGGGGAACCCGAGAGAAATCCGTATGGACACGGGGAGAACTTGTAAACCTTGCACAGAAATGCCAGCCAGCCCGGCAAGGACCAGAGCTGGCGATGTTCCTGCCGTAGGGGAACAATGTCAACCACTGGGCTGCCATGCTGCCCAATTTAGGTGAAAAGGGAGGAGACGGGGAGCTAAGGGGCTGTTCTTCCAGACAAAGATAGTTGTAGAATGAAGACTGTGGTTATTTATAGTGACTTATTAAAAAATATGATTGGAGGATCTTGATAAGCCAATGCGGGACCGGCTGTGGTCAATCATAAGCATGTGATCCCAAAAAAATTGTTTATAAATTAACTTCATTTAAATTTCAGACATTTCTGTGTGGAGTTTGCATGTTCTCCCTGTGTTTGTATGGGTTTCTTCTGGGTGCTCCGGTTTCCCCCACAGTCCAAAGACATGCGATATAGGTGAACTGAATATATTAAATTGGCCTTAGTATAGGTTGCAGCTAGAAAAAGACATCTGCTGCGTAAAACATATGCTGGAATAGTTGGTGGTTCATTCCGCAGTATATAGTAGACTAATTTAAGCATTTATTCACAAATGAAATAAATAAAATTTTGCGTTTACTTTATTTGATATTTATGTAAAGTTACTTAATCCAGTTTGGTTTTTACATCTGCCTTTATGTCTGTCTCCAGAAAGCAGGAAGAGTGTCCAGTGGCTGCAGGGCAGAGATGGTGAGGTGTGGGTCTGGGTAATGGGGGACGCTCCTGGAGACAAACCATACGAGCTGATTGTCAAAGAGCTGATGGAGGAAAGAGCCAGGCGACAGGCTCAACTAGAAGCCCAGGAGCTCTGGTAAGGACTGGGACCAACTCCATGATCTTTATCTGCATCTCATTTTATTTACAAATATATATATATATATATATATATATATATATTAACGTAGAACAGGTAATCTTTTGTTGTAAAGATTTGACAATTGGGAATCAAACTTTGGGCATAAGCATGGAAGCATAAGGTTTATTTTGTCAGTCATGTTGGATAATACGCCTAAGAAAATAAATGCACAATGTTAAAGTTCCTACAATCTGTAAACATTCCACATATTTGGTCTTTTTTTCTAGGCGTAGGAAAGAGGAAGAAATAAAGCAAAAGTTCAGACATGCCATCACAAAGGAAAAAGCGCGCCTAGTTGCAGGCAAGTGGAAGGAAGAAGCAGAGGACAGGAAGGCAGCCAAGCAGGAAGAGGAACGAATACAAGAGAAGCTAAAGGTGATTGATCAACAAACTTCTAACTGTGCTGCAAAATGAGAATCTATTAATTGGCTTTAGTCAGACAAAAATTACTGCCAGCATTTCATACAGATCCAAACCATCTGCTATAGAGTGTCAGGGGATTAACTAGGAAGTGGAAGTCACAAAAGAAACAATCCAATCAATTACTCGTAGGAGACCTGCAATGATGTCCACCTTTGGGGCCTAACGTTCGTTTGAAGGGTGTTGTTTTCCTTCAAACTCTCTGTAAATTATTTAGGTAAGTGTGCGGAGCGGTAGCTGTATGTGAAGGGGGACTCGCTGTACTCCTATTCTCAGCACCTTCCTTTGAACGACAGAGAACAATGAGGAAAACAGCCAGGCAATCAATACTCAATCTGAAACCAACAGGAGGGCAACTTGCTGCATCAACGACAAAAACTAGGGCTGGGTGCTTTTCTAGTTTCCCAAAATCTCTGTGTATGTGCTTTTGTTCATCATGTTAGTTTTATCTGCTTCCCACTCGGAGGCTAAATGAAACTGAAAATGTTTTACACAGAGCTCGGGCTGTATTTGGTTGATGTTGTGAAAAGTGGATTTTATGTTTTGGAGCAAAAGAGTTAGTGACAACACTCTGTTTAAATAGTTGGGTTGAAGATACCATAACATATGACCCAACTAGGTCATTATAGCACCTTCCCAATTATGGGTTATTTAATCCAATGCGTTGGGGGTATATATTTAACCCAATGCTTTGGGTTATTTTGATGAAATGTTATTTTTTCATTCTGGTATTACTATTGCTACTATTAGTAGTCCTACAGTTAATTTTATTATTATGGCTGTGTAATTAAATAACATACAGTTTTTAAAAATATTGAAAATGCTTAATTTTCATTACATTCACACTTTTGTTGAATTTAAGAATCACAAACAATGAAGAAACTGAACAAAGAGCAGACAGTTATAAACTGTTCAAGCAGAAAACCATGTGTAGATTTAGCAGAATACGGAGCTCTGTGTGCTGTAGAGACTGTCCAGCAGCTGCAGCGGGCTTCACTCAGTGTCCACAATGTACAATACATTTTAACCACATCCAAATGCTTCTAAAAGATGGTCTTAGATAGTGAAACAGATATAAAAACACAACACGGAGAGGTAATTTAATTTAAAAAAATAATAACAATATTGTTGCGTTAGAGCTTAAACAAACTTTATAACGCAAAAACAACATCACGCACGCATGTTAATACAGCTGTTTTGTGTCAGTTAAATCAGTTGACTGTTGAAATTCACATTTTTAACCCAACTGATTGAGTTATTAAAAATAAATAACCAAATAAAGGTTAAAAATAACCCAACAAAGCACCAAATATTTAACTTAACTTTTTGAGGTCTTAATAAACAACCTAATAAAGGTTAAAAATAGCCCAGCAAAGCACCAAATATTTTTAACCAAACCATTAGGTTAAATAAATAACAAAAATTTTTAGAGTGCAGAGTCCTCTAAAATTGATTAAAAATACGTTATGTTACAAGCTATTCGAAATTTACTATTCAGAAATATTTTTAAAGGGTTCTTTTCAAGCATCATGCATGATATTTCCACACTATCTCACAGCTAGTGGCTAATTCTTATAAACTCTTATGATCTCATTCATACACTTCATGCACACATACACTTTGCAGTTACACTTAACAATAACAGTACATGAATAATGATATATTAAAATCAAACTAAACATTACTTTATTAAGAATTAATGATGAGGTAAGGCGTGCACTAATCATGAACTAATTTTAACTATACAACATGGTTCACAAGAGTTCATGTGTAAATAACGGTTACCTTAATAGTCTGTTCATGTTGATGTTGCCAGAACACTTTTCCATTGTTATTCGGTGTAAACGCACTGGTTGAACATGCAGAAAGAGTTCAGGAGTAGTTAATAATGGGTCAATTATGTTGTGTCCCTTCAAGTAATGTCATGATATAATTATACAATAACATATCAGGAGTTCATGGTGGTTAAATAATCATAGACTAATGTGGTAAGTAATATATTAATTAACAAGCAATCATGTACTAATAAGTAATTAAGGTAGCCTAAGTACCTAAGGTAGTCACACATGAACTCTTGTGAATCATGTTGTAGTGAAAATTAGTTCATGATTAGCACATGCGTTAACTCATCATTAGTTCATAATAAAGTAATACCTAGTTTACATATTAATACATCATTAATCATGTACTGTTATTGTAAAGTGTTTCCCAATTCACTTATCCCCCTAATGACTGTTGGGTTTAGGGGTGGGGTTTGGTCCAAAGCCACTTATTAAAAATTTTACATTTTCATATGAACTTGTACGGATTCCTACGAATTAGCCACTAAACTGACAAAATGTCAAATAGTTGTTTCCTCGTGAGATCAGGCTGGATATTTTACAACCAGAATTGATCTTGTCTTTCTCCATAAATATTTCTGATATGATACTGTAAAAAAAATTAGATCTGCATTACCTGTTTAATTTCATTTGTTCAGAATTTGAGCTCAGGTTTATTCACCTTAGTCTCCATGAACTAGCAGGCGCAGCCATCTAAATCTTTTTGGTCAAGACTTCTGGTATCATTCACATCCATTCATTTTCAGACGTTGAAATCAGCTTGTTATTCTGCTTAATGTTGCAAACTGATATTTTCTTATTATACTGTATTTGTTCTTTTTTGTCTGTATAGTCATGTAAACACTTGTTTGTAGAGCAAGTATTTTGACAGTTTTTTTTTTTTTTTGGTGTTTATTATTCCTAGTCATTTCTCCCAAGCAGCTGAATCAGAAATTTGAAAACAATCGCAAAAACCAGCACACTTCCACATTTTAGAATAAGGTCAATGTGTTTTCTAAAATACAAAACTGACAGACAGCTGAAACAAATGTTATCTTCATCTTGAGTTTATTGCACATTTTACGTTTTAAAACGACACAAAATTGTGCTTTTCTACTTTTATTTTTTTAGTGTAGTTAAAATTCAAATAGTTAATGGTGTGTTAAAGGAGTAGTTCACCCAAAAATTAAACAATTCTGCCATCATCAAACCAGTTTGAGTTTTTTTTTTTTTTTTTTTTTACTAAAAAATGTCAGGGGGAAAAACCTTTAAAAAAGACTTTGACTTGCATTATATGTTTGGTTTCTACAGTGGATGACAATGACTGCTTTTTTACATTCTTCAGAATATCTTGTTTTGTGTTTAACAGAAGAAAGAAATTTGTAAAAGTTAAAGTTAAATGAAAATTTTACCAAAAAACATCTTTAATATTAATCCTCTCTATTTAAAAAATTTAATAAATGTTGAAACTGGAGCGACACAGTGGCTTAGTGGTTATTGCTGTACACTCTCAGAAATAAACGTATGTGAGATGTCAGTGGGGTGGTACCTTTTAAAAAGGTACAAATTTGTATCTAAAAAGTCCATATTAATACCTCAAGGATACATATTAGTACCTTAAAAGTACAAAAGTGTCCCTCTTCAATTTTTAAGGTACAAATTTATACTTTTGAGGTACCGATATGGACCCTTTAGGTACAAATGTGTAACTTTTGAAAAGGTACCACTCCAGTGACAGCTCACGCACCTTTATTTCTGAGAGTGTAGTCTCACAGCAAGAAGGTCGCTGGTTCAAGCCTCGGCTGGGTCAGTAGGCATTTCTGTGTCGAGTTTGCATGTTCCCCTTTGTTCAAATGGGTTTCCTCTGGGTGCTCCGGTTTCCCTTACAATACAAAGACATGCGGTATAGGTGAAATTGAATAAGCTAAATTGTCCGTTGTGTATGTGTGTGAATGCGAGTGTATGGATGTTTCCCAGTACTGGGTTGCAGCTGGAAGGGAATCCACTGTGTAAAACATATGCTGGAGAAGTTGGCAGTTCATTCTGCTGTGGCAATCCCTGATTAATAAGGGGACTAAGCTGAAGGTAAACGAATGAATGAATGAATGAATGAATGAATGAATGAATGAATGAATGAATGAATGAATGAATGAATGAATGGTGCATTAAAGGGGTAGTTCAACCAAAAATAAACAATTCAGCAATCATTTATTCATTCTCCATTTGTTGCAAACCAGTCTAAGTTTCTGTCTTACTAAAGAATGTTAGTTGTAAAACAGACTTTGACTTCCATAATATGTTTAGTTTCTACTGTGGATGACAATGACAAAAAGAATATCTTGTTTTGTGTTTTAACAAAAGTAAGAAATTCATTGAATGAAAATTGTATTTAAAAATCTGTTAATATGTTAACGCCCTGTAATTAAAAATGTATTAACTGCTGAAATGCTGAAACTAACATTAACTAAAATTAATAATTGCTGCTGAAGCATTTTATCCATTGTTCATTTTTAACTAAAATAATCAACTAATAATAAAATCTTCAAGCAGCATTCATTTTTTAAAAGCATTTCATTGTGTTTTCACATCTGCATTATGTATTTTAATTTTGCCTCTGGCCTAAAAACTAGGCGCATAGTAATTCAACAAGCTGAAAAGCATGTCATCTTAGTAAGAACGAGAATTGGTTTGGTTCTAAGAAAGTGAAGGGGGAAAGTCAATTAAACTTAAAGAGGAGATTAGATCCTTCAGGCATCTTCAGCACTACAAAATAGTTATTCAGAAGTTGCATTGATGGCATTATCTTTTCAAAAAGGAAGAAACTGAAAATGGCAAAATGTAGGAGGAGTCAGGGCAGACTGTTTTCCAATACTCACACTGCAGATTCCCAAAGAGGCCTAGATGGTTACCCATGATCTGCAGCCTGGTAATGAGACCTTCTAAAGAAACTTGTCAAATATTAAAGAGCTCATTTATCACGGCCCACATATCACCCCTCATGCTGGAAAGTGCCGAGTCATTCAAATTTGAAGTGTTTTCTTACAATACTCCTTTAAAAAAGATTTTGCCTCGACAAGCTAGAAAGAGCTACAAGAAAAGAAAAGTGGAATCTCTCAAAAGTTACCTAGCAGTTAGATACATACACTTCAGTTATACTAACAGCTTTAATATCTAAAAACGATGTAAGGAAGCTCAAAGAAAAACTCTCTGCCAGTACTTTAGATAAACTGAACAATGTTTTCTGTTACAACTGTAATGACCACAACTGCACTCGTGTTTTTTAGACAATAGTGGTCTAGACAAGGAGTGTCTGTTTTCAGATAACGCCTCAATGGTAATTACCTTATGCCAATAATTACACAGCTTAAGTATCTCAAACAACCATGCCGCCACATGTTAGTGTCCTCGAGGATTAATTATTCAACCAATGATTTCCATTTCAACACAGCTAATGAGCCACTGGTGCTAATTCATTAGTGCTGGAAGAGTTAGAACAACAGACTGGGGCTAAGTAAAGACTGAGGTGCATATGATTTGACACACACACATACGCAAAAAAAAAAAAAAAATTTCTGTTTCTTTCACGCAGAAACAAGAGGAAGAGGAGAGGCAGAGGGAAGAGGAGGAGATACGTCGTGCAGAGGAAAAAAGAGCGAAGGAACTATATATGTCCCTTGAGCAAGAACAAAAAAAAAGTGAACAACGTGACAAAGCGTGGGAGGAACATTGTGAGTGAAGATGTTTTTGTTCTTCATCTACATGTTCATCTGTCAAATCTCTTCTGCTGTTTATTATTATGCATGTCTCTTCATTTCAACAAAATTTGAATTTATTTTCCTTTTCGAGCTTCAGTCTGTTGTGTAAATGTGAAAATGTAAAAAAATATATATACTTACTTATTTTATTTAATCCAGATATACTTTAGGTGAACTTGAAAAATGTACTGGTGTGACATATTCGTTGGGAAAATCGGGCAAAAAGTTCATTTGCAGTTTCAACAAGACTGCCAACACAAACTTTCTGGAATAACTTGTGCTGGCTGGTAAACAACTTAGAAACTGACATACCCAATGACACATGGGAAGAAGCCATCCAGTTAATGAAACCTCATCTTGTGCATGACTGATTCAAACAAAGGTTTTGTTTGTTATTCTTTATAAAGACAAAATGTCAAAACCATGCATGTCCATATATTGTTAAAATCATGTTACTGTTGCAGTGCTTCTGAAGAATATTTCGGTCACAAACACCTTTGTCCAATAAAAATAGATATATTAAGCATATAGCAGGCCCAATGCCAGCCTAGTGAAAAGGGTTTTTTTTTCTTCACAAAAAGTAGACCTTTTTGCAGTTATTCACCTCATTTTCTATTTAACTTATGATGTTTAAATACTGCATTTTACTGACATTTAAAGCACTGTTTTTAGCTGGATTAGCTTGTCAGGCGGTCATCATAGTCTCACTGTTTAATATTTCAAAAACATTTCTTTAAGATTTAGAATAAATAAATATTAAAACTTATTTATATGTATTATTTGTAAAATACAAATTTATCACATATATCATTAGGGGAAAAAATGGATCTGTTAAGGCTTTAAATTAAAAACTGCTTATTAAGGCATGGTAAATTGTCATTTATTAGGCAAATAACAAACAGGCCAGCACATTCAACATTCATTCCTGTTAGAATTTGTCCACTTAAATAATAAAAAAAACAAACATAATAATAATAATGTAGAGCCTCCTGATTTTTCTAGCTTCTCTTTGTAAAAAGTACATTTCAAAATTCATAGATAAGAGCAATAGCCTAGTATTAAAATTAAATTTTATAACCTTCAAAATAAATTTTTGGTGCTTCAAAGCTTTTTTTTTCCTTTCAAAAAAATTTTTTGGAAAAAAAAGTCACTTGTAAAATGTTTTCGCTATTTAACTACAGCACAGTTGGTAATTAGTGAAAGATGACCGCTTATGTCAGTTTCTTTTAAGTCTTACAGACTTTTTCGATGGGTTATTCTCACAATTTATGATGGCATAGAAGTCAAAATAGGACAAATGAGCTCATAAATGGGACAAATTCTGGATCTTTGTCAGTGAGGAATGGGTCTTTCGAATTATTTGAACCCCCTCTGGCTACGGGCCTGATCTAGTATGGAACTCCATGCCAAACTCCACCTACTCCTCCATGCACGGGTGGATGGACTGAGCAGGGAGAGCAGTAGCAAATCAACCCCCCATCGGCTAACAGAACCCAAAATCAAGCATAAACAATTATGATTAATTATGAGTCAATGTAAAAGCTCAGAAATGAGTAGGGGATGGTGTGTGATTTAAATTAACTGCTGTTAGATGCCAGAATCTGATTGGTACTCAATATGAACAGCTGATTGTCATGATGACAAGTTCTGCCTGAACTAATGCAATGCTTGATTTTAAAGTCAATATGAAACATAAGTTGAGATTGGCCATACAGTAGTTTCCACATTCTGATGTAAATTCAATTGAAATAGTTAGCTGATTGTCCAGTAAATTGAAAATTTGGGGTGGTGCAGATTTTGTCCTTTGGGAGCTGTTGGAAGGTGGTTGTTGCTAATGGAGAAAGATTGATAAATGGACAAAAGCAGGGCAGAAATGTACAGATTTTTAAATTACGCTTAAATTACAATTTTTTTTTACTTAAAAATGAACAATACCCTAAAAACCCCATAATGGCATTGATTTATTGTCAAGAAAGGTTATGTTCTGAAGGCTAAAATTTAAAAACGGGCTTTGGTATTTGCAATTTTAATATCTATATTAAAGGGTATTCCATTTCAGACCAAATCACCTATTCTTCATGATGGCTTAATGACCTTGTAAAAACAGAAGAAATTAACTCTTATCTTAGGGCAGGGGTGTCCAAACTCCTGCATATTTTAGTTCCAACCCCAATTAAACACACCTGAAACAGCTAATCAAGCTCTTTCTAGGTATACTTCAAACTTCCAGGCAGGTGTGTTGGAGGAAGTTGGAGCTAAACTATGCAGGACACCAGCCCTCAGGGCCGAGTTTGGACACACCTGTCTCAGGGTATTCAATACAAAACTGCAGATCATTTTTGTTGTTGTTTCTCTCTGATGTTATTTATGATATGCATTTTTGCTGTTAAGCGGAAAGCATGCAGCATACAATATATTTATATTTCATTTAATTGCCATCTGCAGTATCATAAGCCTTATGAGAACGTTTGGTAATACTACGCTCCTCCAAAGGTATTTAGAACTTTTTTCTCAAGTTAAAAACAGCAGTTTTATTTGCTGTTAGAATATTGGGGCCATAACATGAGAAGTGCTAATGATACAAAATTTAAAACAGTGCTCAGAAGCAAAGGAATCAACTACCTTGTTCCAAAAAAAAACCTCAGATATACAGTACAAGCTGGATTTTCCAACAAAGAAAGTTTTTTTTTCTAATCCCATTATTTCTCTTATCATTTCCTGCATTCAATCATCTTTCTTCTTTCTCTTTAGTGTGCCGCTGCAAAGCAGCAGATGAGGAGATGACAAGAAAAGCTTGCTGGGCAAGAGATGAGTATAAGCGTCAGTCACTGCGAGCCATTGAGAAAGGTCATGTAGCTGGTCTGAGTGGCCACTTCCAGAAACAATCCCAACGTAGACACAGTGCTTTCATCGAACCATCTGCTAGTCCAGTCTCCAGCAATGAAGTCAGACCCAAACCCGGTCTTCAACGTGCAGAACCCCCGTTATACAGACGAAGACAAAGTCGCAGGCACAGTACAACAACAACGACACAACCACTAATGGACAGGTAACCATTCTGTACAGCAATAACAGCATATGACACTAGGAGTTTATTATATCTCAGGGCGTTCAAATGCTTAATTTGTTTTAAGATATGCAAGTGGATCTTGACCACATTAGAGATATACAAATCTTTTAAATTAAATATTTTTAACTTAATTTTGATGAAAAGGTTTTATTTTGCTTAGATTAAGGGAATGAGTTATATATAATATAAATCCCCAGAGTAACCTATTTTGTGTGGGGGATAAAATTATAATTAAACCAGATATAGCTAAAATGTCAATGTAAACACAGCTATGAATTAATATTAACCTCTGTATAAACAGATGGCGTTTAATAAAGTGTATTCAGAAAAATTGCTGTAAGAGCTGAGTGATACGATACACTGCTTAAATGTTCATTAAAAACAATACTCAGCGGTCTAAATGTGTTTGTTACCTTACAATACAAACATCCAGCAAATGTAACAAAATGTAATAGATGAACAAAAGGAGCAATTAAACATATACCTCTGACTGGCTATATAGCTATGGCTGCGGGAGTCATTGCATTGTGATAATAGAAAACAAACTTGTGGGGCTGAATTTGACTTTGCTGCTTCTCCCTTTTTCAAAATAAGAGTCCCCCATACATTGTATGTTTAATATAAACTTAAACTTAAAATAACGGAGGAATATTATCCTTGTTATAATCTTAAAAACCAGCCTGGGGCATGCATATTAATGATCTCATGTGCATATCAGCTGATCCCCTGATGATGCAGCTCGAACATGACAAAGTACGTGCAAATCTTCCATGCATCAGTCTGTATCTGTTTAAAAAGTCTGTTTTCTGATTGGCCTGTTTTCCACCAGAGTTTTACACTCAAGCAAACAATGATGTTTGAGGCTCACATTATGGCCATTGCCATGTACTGATGTAACATTTTTAGACTATGCTTAGGTGTTCATATATATTCTATTCATATTATGGTTTTATGGTAACTGTTTCAGTATGGTTACGTATATTATATGTTTTGTAAGAAAACAGGACACAATCAAATAAAAAATAAAGAAAATAATATCTTCAGGCAAAAGCACAAATGAATACAATATTGCAAAAATACTACAAATGTTTTACAGGTATTAAACAGTACTTTTCACTTTTAAGACAATACACAGATTCATCACATTGAGAAAGTCATAGACATGGGCGTTGCTAGGCCTATTTTAGGGGAGCTGTAGCCCCCTATATTTCTACTCAGCCCCCCTAAAACGTTTGTGATTAGCTCATAAACTGTACACAAAATTTTCACCTGAGTCCCCTTTAAATTTAATATGTAAACAGCGGCAGAATTCGGCTCCTTCTCGTCTTTTGTTTTTAATTTGATTAGTAAACCACAGCAGTGGACAGCGAGAAAAGGAGGTGTGTGTTTATTGATAAATTGTTATAATATCTGCTTATTTGCAGTTCTTTGATTTAGATAACCTTATCACCTGTATCCCAATGTCACGGAGGAGCAGTCGGGTTTTCTCTTCGTTCATTTCATCAGCACAGCAGTTTCCTCCAGCGAAAAATGTAACTCTTATTGAACATTTTACTATTTTCATTTCAAAATAAACAAAAAAAAAACAAAACAAAAAAATTATTATATTAAATATATAGTGCAGTGTTTTTACTGAATAAATCTAATAATAGGTAATAATAGGTTCTAAGGCATAACCGATTAAATACCTGTCTAGCATGTTAACATAATTATTTGACATAAATTGAGTTTTACCCTTCAGAAACTATGGAAGCATATGAGTAGCATAATTCAATTCAAAATGCAATATGCAAAATGGCAATGCAATATGTTAAATGGCTATTTATTTCTGTATTTGAGTTTGCATTTTCCAAGACATATGAGCAATGTTTGGTGCAGAATGAAAATGTAAATTAAATTACATTGTTTGCATTTCTCATTTCAAACACTGTTTTAATTTGTAAATTGTATCCACATTTTAAAGCTTTATAAGTAGCAAAATTAATATGAAAATGCTATACACAAACTGAATTTGATGTGAATAAAGTACAAGCAGAAACTGTAGCAAAATGATCATTTAAATGTTATTTGTCTTAAATGCATTTACACTCGCGTCTAGGAAACGCAGGATTACATTTTCAGCATAACAGCATGGGATGTGTGTAGCAAAATTAATTTTGAAATGTAATACGCAAAACGATAATGCAATATGTAAAAGGCAGTGTATTTCTGTATTTCAGTTAGCATTTTCCAAGACATGTGTGCAATGTTTGCTGCAGAATGAAAATGAAAATGAAAAAAAACATAATGCATTTTCATTTAACACATCGCGACGAATGAAAGCCGATTTGAAATTGAAAATGCATTCTGGCCTGGCCACGCCCACAGACGGCCGCCGTTGCTGCAAGGCAGGTTTTAGGTTATGTCGTCACAGCTGCCGCGAGGACTATTTGGGACATTTGGCAGCATAAACATGGCGAAGTCTGTTCCTCAGTGGCTTCGTGAAGCTTCATGAGCCCTCGAGCTTGAACTGGGAAATACTTTAGAAAACCAATCACCTCCTAGCTCAGTAAACTTGGCCTTAGGTTTGATATTCGCGCACGCAGTTTTAGGGATCATCTGCAAATTACATCAACAGAACCAAAACGCACAGTAACGCAAAGCAGAAAAAAATTCAGGAGATTCCAATAAATGGTTAGAGGCCAGACTGATTTAATACAGGTAGCAAAGCTACTATACCTCTAACTATATGGTACATACAATGCAGAAATAGGCAATAGCTCTTGTCATAAGCATACAGTACACATCAGCTAAAGCCCCTTTAGGTTCTGTCGATGTAATTTGCAGATGATCCCTAAAACTGCATGCGCGGATATCAAACCTAAGGCCAAGTTTACTGAGCTAGGAGGTGATTGGTTTTCTAAAGTATTTCCCAGTTCAAGCTCGAGGGCTCATGCAGCTTCACGAAGCCGCTGAGGAACAGACTTCGCCATGTTTATGCTGCCAAATGTCCCAAATAGTCCTCGCGGCAGCTGTGACGACATAACCTAAAACCTGCCTTGCAGCAACGGTGGCCGTCTGTGGGCGTGGCCAGGCCAGAATGCATTTTCAATTTCAAATTGGCTTTCATTCGTCGCGATGTGTTAAATGAAAATGCATTATGTTTTTTTTCATTTTCATTTTCATTCTGCAGCAAACATTGCACATATGTCGTTTTGCGTATTACATTTCAAAATTAATTTTGCTACACACATCCCATGCTGTTATGCTGAAAATGTAATCCTGCGTTTCCTAGACGCGAGTGTAAATGCATTTAAGACAAATAACATTTAAATGATCATTTTGCTACAGTTTCTGCTTGTACTTTATTCACATCAAATTCAGTTTGTGTATAGCATTTTCATATTAATTTTGCTACTTATAAAGCTTTAAAATGTGGATACAATTTACAAATTAAAACAGTGTTTGAAATGAGAAATGCAAACAATGTAATTTAATTTACATTTTCATTCTGCACCAAACATTGCTCATATGTCTTGGGAAATGCAAATTCAAATACAGAAATAAATAGCCATTTAACATATTGCATTGCCATTTTGCATATTGCATTTTGAATTGAATTATGCTACTCATATGCTTCCATAAGAAACAAGATTTCATTTACACATCATAAAATTCATAAAATTCTTCTTCAGATGAGGGCCCTTTTCACATTTCTAGTGCATGCTTCTTTTAATGTTTAAATAACAAAAGCTGAAATGAGTTCAGTTTAAACACGTATAGGGGGGTACTGTGTGGGCTTCTGCTCGCGCACTGTCAAAAGCAGGGTATGATGCTGTAAATGACTGGACATTCTGCACTCTGCAGACTGAGGTTATAAACATGTTTTGTTGTAACACAGGCCCATTAGGAATATGTGTCAAGGGCTGCATTTTTGGGAATGTGCAAGGGGCTACGTTAAGCAGCATTTTGTGTGCAAAATGAGCACGACAGGGTGGTATGATCCAGCTGACAACTTCGGTTCCTTTTTATGCTACCACTGACCAGTTATCTCCATATGGACAGCTTTTCTGACATGACCAGTTTTCTTGGTAGCTTGCCTCATATTACATTGGACTTGGGATTTAGAGCAGACCAGGGTTTGAGTCTGGAGAACATTCTGTTCCAGAAACCATGTAAAACAAAAAAAAACAAAAAAATGAAATGCGGCCACGACAGCTTTTCTCTTTTGGTTTGCTTTTGAAACAGCTATCGGTTGGGTTTAGGGAAGGGGATGGTGGGTTAATAGCAACCTGAGAAGGGTGTTGAAATTTGCCGAAATTTACACAGCAGCTTCTGGTGGATTTTTGAGAAGGACGTGCAAATTGCAAGTATGACAAAACATGCCCAAGTGACACATTTGAGATTGTCAAAAATGTACACTGCGGCCTCTGGTGTATTTGTGACAACAAAAACTGCAAACAGACGTAGCCCCAGGCACATAATTTGCAGTTCCCAAAAATGTAGCCCTGAGCATATATCTCCAATGAGGGTTGGTTTTGTCCCCTGCTTCGGGTTTGTGTACATGGTGGTTTGTTCAGCTCTCACTGCTGTGCTTGAGCATTTGGATGGGTAAAAAAGAACATATTCAAACATGAACATAGTCATTACAGAGAGTAATTACAGAAATGGGAAAAATGCTATTTTAAATCAAAACCAAAAGTGCACAATTTACAAATGCATAATAAACCGTGGAGGTTATACCAAAAGGTTCAATATTGTGGCATCCCTACAATATGTTAACAAAAGGCTTGATACTTTTGACCAGGTTGAGAGACCTTATTTAAAATGGCTGTGCACTCTATTAAGAAATACGCAGTTCTGTAAGCACTTTTCTTTCCCAATAGCCCTGCATGGTTGCAAACACCACGACCTGGTTCCAGAGAGCTGGTTATACTCTGGTTCAATGAGGAGCAGAAACCAAAACAAGCAGGATATGAAAGAAATGGCAAGGCTATCGCCCCATGGTTCCACGGTATGTTTTCTGAATGACCTGGTGTCTTTGATCATCCGATATGATACATTAAAATCCATTACCACCTCTTAAATTGTGTGCAATGAATAGTTTGCCAAACAAAGTCAACATTAATTTCAGAATTATTCTGGTAAATTCTGTCCTGTAAGAAGGAGGAAAACATGAATAGTTTTAGTACTCTGGCATATGCTAGCTCCTCTAAAGCAGATAACTCTGCTCTGCCCTTTTACCCTCCTCTACACACTGTCACCCTGATCCACAAGGAGAGGGAAATGGAGTGTGTAGAAAATGCAGCCCTGTTTTGAAACAAGAAACTGGCCAATTGACAGATGGAAAGCAGCGGTGTGTGTGTCTGCATCTACTTGTGCCCGGACAGAGAGTAGAGAGAAATTGAGGGGAGTGCTCAATAATTCAGAGGCTTTGCTAGGCTAATTACTGGCGTGAGTCCTGAAGCTTTGTCATGTTAGAATGGGTTACAGTGTGTTAGTCCTGGTTAAATGACAAGAGAGCAGATTATTAGGCTTGCGAGTGTCGGAAATTCCAGTGGAATGTTGGCCATGTGATTCTGAATAGATAAGAGCCCACACTCATTCATAGCCTTACTGACACATATACACAAGCCTGGTGTAGGTTTACATCAACACTGCTGGTACAGATACATGGAAAAAACATACTATACCGCTTTCGACCTGGCACCTGATGGCTCTATTACAAAGATAACAAGATTAAAATGGAAACAACGCTGAAACCACTCTTTAAAAGTTATTACCCTGTATAAAAATAATAATAATAAGGTAAACTATATTGATTTTGTTTAACCTTTTAAGCCCCAAAGTGTTTTTTTACATCCATTTTTTATTTCTCTTTGCTATTTGGGCTTATTGGAACCTAATTAGAATAAAACCTAAGTATACTATATGATGTATATGATCTACTTTTTAAAAAAATTATGTCCAAATAAATGGAATTGTGGTCCGAATTTGCATAAAACCCTTTTTCATTACTGTTTTTGAATGCATTAATAACACATACATATTTTTTTAACTTGTTTTGACTATCAGAGAGTAAAACAACATTTTTGCCCATTTTGGACAGTTAAAAATAGTGTTTGGGACATTTCATATGCTGGAAAACAGTTGACACTGTATATCTGTAACAAAACAAAAAACATTCAACGTATTTTCAATAGCCACTTAAGAGCTTAAATGTGCTGTCCACACATGTGGCCACCAAGTCCTAGGAGGTTAAAGCATGTAAGATCATTAGTTTAAAATCTAAAATCTTGACAAATGCATTCATAACCACAAAATTATTTTACTAAACTTTAATACTTAAAGTAATATCATCCTCTCCAAAAAATATTTGGGCCTCAAAAATAGAATAATAACAAACAAAACTTTTTTTTTTTTTTTTTTTTTTTTTAAGTTTAACATATTTTATTTGATACAGTTTCTTCTCAATATTTTAAAGTAAAATCTGTAAAAATCTGTTTAAATTTGAAAAAGAATTGTAAAAGTATCAACTATTTCACTTTCACTATCACTATTCAGGAGCCATGTGCCACCTGCTGTCAGGTAAAAGCTGAGGATCTCTCTCTCTCTCTTGGTTGTTGCCTTGGTGATGACAGATTGAGACCCACTGCCTAATGTTTTCATATGCACATGACTGACAACAAGATGCAAAGAGAAAGGTAAAAGTAACGCAAAAATGCCTGCAATTAAAGTCGAATCCCGGACATTTTATTAGGTTTAGAAATCCTGACCCAACAAATTTTTTAGTCCCAACATGAAGACATGTCTATGAAAAAAGAGGATGTATGGTCACCATATTATAGTTCACATGTTTTCCCAGTCCTGAGTTGCGGCTTTTAATCTGATAAAATATAGTATCTACAAGTGTTATATGTATACATTTTTAACTTGATTGCAGAGGATGCCCAATGAAATCTCATTCATTGTAACAAACTTAAAAAACACTTATAGATAACATATTTTATCAGATTAAAGGCCGCAACCCAGTACTGGGGAAACATGTGAAGTTTAATTCTGACCCTTTCAATAATAGATTAAAAGTGAATATATTTTAAATGCATTAGATTACAACATCATAAATGCGTAGACAAATCTATTTTAAACATATAAAATAAACATTTTAATAGCAATTAAATTATATATATTTTATTATTATAATAAATGCAGTATATAATAGAGAATATAATAATAGAGACAAAATTACATCAACATTTTTTATGGGTTTCAAAGTTAAATTATAATGCATTTTAATGGCAAGTCATTAAGTGTCCATCCTAATGTATACAAAGTCATCTTGAAATTACCTGATTATGAAGTATTTAGTAAAAAGTATTTATATATTCATAAAATGTATAAAGTTAAGTTATTATACATTTTCATAACATGTACAGTGGGGGAAATAAGTATTGAACACGTCATCATTTTTCTCAGAAAACATATTTCCAGAGCTGCTGTTGACTTTTAGTTGTCCACGGATGTTGGTAACCAAAGAAATCCATATATGCAAACAAAACAAAACTAATTAGTTTACAATTAATTTTATGTGTGACAAAATGAAATGACACAGGGAAAAAATATTGAACACATGAAGAAAGAGATGCGCAGGAGAGCTGTGAAAGCCCAGCCAAAAAACTGAAAATCTCTGAAATCTCTCAGTAGAAGTTCAGCAACCCTTTGCCCTTCATCAGTATCAATTTATATTAGCTGCTTCAGTCCAACATCTACTTTATCAGGATGATGAAGATGAAACCAGAGTGGACATTTAAGCAAGACAATGACAGTCAAGGAAACTCTCAAATGCTTTCAGAGAAAAAAATCAAGCTGTAGAATGGCCCGGCCTACCACCAGACTTGAATTCAATAGATAATACAAAATAAAATAAAAACCCAGAACCATAAAGATTTTTACACTCTGTGAAAAACTCACACCTGAGCAATTCATGTGACTTTATTCTCCATATGAGAGTCATCTTTAAGCTGTCGTCACCAAAAAAGCCTTTTACGTAAAGTATTAAATACGTTTCAGTAATTTGCTACTATCTTCTAATGTTATTCCATTGTTGTTACACATAACTCTTTTTTTCTGATTATTTTATTGTTTTGTTTTATTTTTATGCTTGTATTATTTGGCTTTTTATCTTCAATTCTAAGTCAACAGCTCCTTTAGAAATATTATTCCCAGGAAAAAGCATGACGTGTTAAATACTTATTTCCCCCATTGTGATTAAGGGCCTAAATGTATTCAAATTAATCTCTTATTATAAAGTATTAAATATAATATTTTTGCAAAGTATGCTGAAGTGTACAAGGGCAAACAGAGTCTTTGATGTGCCTCAGTCAATATCAACGACGAAAAAAAAACTGTGTAAATGTTTTTGGGAGTTTGTATTAGTGTACACATAATTACCAGTGTAATAAATGGAAACTCTTGACTCCACTGACAGTTTACTGATGTCTCTCCTAAAGGCATCATCTCTCGGGAGGACTCAGAGACCCTGCTTATGAATGCTGCTGTGGGCTCTTTCTTGGTACGGGTCAGTGAAAGGATATGGGGCTACACACTGTCTTATCGTACTGCCAGCGGATTCAAGCATTTCCTTATCGATGCTTCTGGAGACTATTACAGCTTTCTGGGTGTGGACCAAAACCGTCATGCCACCCTTGCTGACCTCATTGACTTCCACAAGGTAAGTGAGCAGAAAAGGTTTCAAGGAACAGTTCTTCCAAACATGAACTCACCATCAAGAATATGATAGTCGTCCAAAATTATTCATACCCCTGGCAGTTTCTGATTTAAAGTTTTGTGTAAATGTAAATAAAAGAAATATATTTTATATATATATATATATATATATATATTCCAGTAATTCTTATTAAAGTTCAGTTATTCTTAGTAAAAAAACATTAGTGTGCCATTTGGGACAACACTACATACATATACTATCATGTTAAGTGTGTAAGTGCATAAGTACACAGTGCATGAGTGCATAGTGTATATTGTGGCATTTGGGACGCAGCTGTAGTGTCGTCCCAAATGGCACACTTATATTTTTTTACTTAGCGAAAATTCAAACCGTTTCCCTGATGACGTTAGACCGCCGCCAAATCAGTGAAATAAATGACCAAATTATCAAATAATACCTGCCGTGAGTATTGCCGCATTCACCATCGAGAGGCGCTATAATCACTCTCGTAGGAGAATTTTGCTTTCACCATCCAAAATAAATAAAGTTATCCAACATGTGCGCCCGATAGCTCCATCCCTTCCGCTACGTAGGCAAACCTGCGGTCGTGGAGTGTGTGAAGTGTCCATCATTCCACACTTCATTTTACCAGCTGAATGAGTGCATCATCCGGGTAATTAAAGTGCACTTATTATTTTTAGTATTATTTTATTATTAGTTTTCAGTGTAAACACACTACTTACACTATTTATACTACAAAATGGCGTAGAATAGTGCATAAGTATGCGATTTGGGACGCAGCTCATGAATACTGTTTTTACAAGTGACTGTCTGGTTAACACAGGAAGATATTAGAGGGTAGTATTCCCATGAACTGCAGTGTCCTCTTTGCTTCAATGAATCTGCATTATTCTGGCAAATAATACCTTTCATGCATTAAATCACATAAATTACACTTTGGGTGTATTAAACAATATTGTTTAATGTCCAGTTGTTTGAAACTGCTGTTTAAAAAAAAGATTATCAAAGTCCTTGTTAAGATTATCAAGTTGTTTAAATGTACATGTTTTATTGTGTATTATATGACGTATTGTCTATTATGAGATTGTTGTTACTCTGAATTGTGGCTTCACACTGCTGAACAGGATCCACTAATTTGAGCTAAATTTAATTAAATTTTACTCAATTCATACTTGTGAAATTTAATTAATATTATTGATTGTAATCTGTTGCCTCAATTTTATTGTGGTAATGTAATGTAAAAACAGATGTGGATCTGGAGTCTTCTTTATTAGTATAGCTGATTAACCATGTGGATAAATGATAACACCCTTCTGAGCCTACTAGTAGGTGCAGAAGGCCCCTACTGGCCCATATTTATCAGCTAATAACCACTAATAAACTAAAAGCTGGCAGCTAGCTCTCTGCAACTCTCACATGGTCACCCACTGAAGCTAAGCAGGGCTGCGCCCGGTCAGTACCTGGATGGGAGACCACATGGGAAAGCTAGGTTGCTGCCGGAGGTGGTGTTAGTGAGGCCAGCAGGGGGCGCCCAACCTGCGGTCTGTGTGGGTCCTAATGCCCCAGTATAGTGACGGGGACGCTATACTGCTCAGTGAGCGCCGTCTTTCGGATGAGACGCTAAACCGAGGTCCCGACTCTCTGTGGTCGTTAAAAATCCCAGGATGTTCTTCGAAAAAGAGTAGGGGTTTAACCCCGGCTTCCTGGCCAAATCTGCCCACTGGCCTTTGTCCATCATGGCCTCCTAACCATCCCCATATTCAATTGGCTGCATCACTGTCTCCTCTCCACCAATCAGCTGGTGTGTGGTGTGCGGTCTGGCGCAAAAATGGCTGCCGTCGCGTCATCCAGGTGGATGCTGCACACTGGTGGTGGATGAGGAGATCCCCCCCACTGTGTAAAGCGCTTTGAGTGCCCAGAAAAGCGCTATATAAATGTAAGGAATTATTATTATTATTATTATTATTATTAATAACGCTCATTCAATCAAGTGATAACATTGGAAGCAGGTTGTTACAATGCTATTAACACACAACCATGGTTAACTTGAAACCTTCAAATTGCGGAAAATAAACAGTAATTCTGACAGAACCGTGTCTTCTAAAGAAAAATTATAGGTGTGTGTATGATGAGAACATTTTGATCAATGCTCTTATGAACTTGTTTATTAACTGGACCCACTCAAAATTTTTGGATAAGTTAAAAAAAATAACTTTCTATAAAACATCCAATATTTCTTTTATCTATATAATTTTTTGGCTGCAGTATTCCATCAGCAGTTCAGTCTGAAACATTTAGAAATCTCAGCCAGCTACAGCTATTCTTCATTGAGCACGGAGAAAAAATAATGGGAAGAAGTTCATATTTATGTCCAAAAAATGAAACAAACTTGCAAAAGCTCTCTGTCCAGGGAAAGCCTGCCATGGGAAAAGTTGTGTTTTGAACATGCCTCTCAATGACTAAATATGCATTTTCCCATAATATATACCATTTGTAAAAGAACAATTCAATTAAACTGTGTAATTGTTTAGTGCTTTTTACTTTGTTTAGTTTTCTGCGTAAATATTTAGTGCCTTTAGCTTCAGACATAAGTTTTCCAAATTCTCCAAATAATGTTTTCACTGAGGAGAAACCCCAATGCCTAGATTCATCACGGTGCGCAGGATTAAAGTTGGGTCAGTCTTAAAGCCTCTGGATCTCTAAAATTATGATCTTTGAGAAATGGATTAGAAGTCACGGATGATTCCCGAGTCAAGCACTGTAATGTAATCTGCGCTAAAGCATCTTTCAACTGAGAGCTTGCCTTGGCGTCTCCACAAACCTCGTATCCCTTCAGCATACCCTGTGTAACCATGGATACGTATTTCACTGTCTGGAACGCTGTCAAAGTTGGAGTCACAAGCTGTGAAATCTCTGACATTAGTTACATGCAAATGCAGGCGACGTTGTACAACTGTCAACAAGCGTTCCCGCTTCACGCCTCTGCAATATGGTAAAAATAAATAAAAAACTGCTGTAGAGGACCTGTCTACATACATATATCAAAATTACAACGAGTTTAGCTCAGATGGAAAAACATGCTTAATTCAATGACAATCAACGGCTGCGTAAAAAAGCAACTCAGATTTATCTTGAAACAGCAGCAGCGCTGAAAACAAGGCTGCCCTTACTATTCCAGGCCATATTTAACTCGTTATTTGAATATGTAAAACAGACTGAATGACACATGCACACACACACACACAAATACATCTACACAAATTGATTCTTCAGTGGATCTTGTGGAATGGTAAGGTGCTATACGTAACAGTTATCTTAGCCCAGAATGTTTTTGGGGTAAGCAACTATAGTTGCCAAAGTTCATAGTTGCTTGGTGAGGTACTTTTCTACTTGTTATCCATGTTTAATTGCTCTATGTGTATGTTTGCATGGACACTAATAATCAGATGTTAATACGATTGAGAGTTTACCATGTAAACAGCTATTTTTGTATTACCTTAATCTGACTAAAGTAATAATCTAATTAAACAGAAATCAGATTGTGGAGTTTGCCGGTTGCATTATTGAAGTGCATTACAGACATGTAAACACCGCATTCAAACTATTGTCATCATGATTTTTACCAGATTTTGCGACGGGATATTCTATAAACACACGGCTAATTGAGTCGGGCTATATTCGATATCACATTTCATTAAAACAACACAATTCCAGCAGTTCATACTCGCATCCAGTATCTCGTTTGGCATGAATGAAATGTTCCTGAATGAAAGTGAAACTGCAAAACTGCAGTTAAAGTCGACAAATTAAGAATGAAACACCCAAATGATGTTAATCAAATTATGAGCTATAACATGTAAAATGGGATCATGAAAGGAACAAAAGGTTACTCATATAAACACCTTAATCATATTATTGTCTTATTCATTTTAAGGCAAATATTTCAATTACTGATGTCCATGTAAATAAAGTCAATGACATTCATCTTAAGGCTTTCAAATTCCTACGCCAGCATGCCAACTGGAAGCAAACCTTCCCAAATAAAGAAAATGTTACTTTTTTCACAATATTATAACTATATTATATCTATCATCAGGGTCTCTAAAAACTTCCACTAAGTTAATAAATCAAGGTTATTGGTCTTGTTTAAAAAAAAATTTCTGCTTTCATAATATACCGCCTAAAAACGTAACCCTTTAAATATTATCTTTACTTTAAAGTAGAACATATAATGCGCTATAGGTGAATTGAGTAAAATAAACTGTTCGTAGGGTATGAATGTGAATGAGAGTGTATGGCTGTTTCCCAGTGATGGCTTGCAACTGGATGGGCATCTGCGGCGTAAAAGATATGCTGAATAAGTTGGTGGTTCATTCCGCTGTGGTGACCCCTGATAAATAAGGGCCGAAAAGAAAACAAATGAAGGAATGTCTAAGACTGTGGTTTAAGTAAACTTTAGCATCATTCCTCAAAGTACACTTTTAGGTGAGTTAACATAACTTAATTTACAAAAAGTAAATTTGACTCAACATGAGCAAGAAATACTTTTACTACATTAGTAAACAATACTTGATATGAAGTCAAGAAAACTTAATGACCTAACTAGATGTTTCTCAGTATAAGTATGACTTTTTCCTACATCAATAAATAATACTTAATGTGATGAAGTTACGATTACTTAATTAATTTAGGGCAATGAGTTTACATAATTCAATAGATTAAACCTAACAAATTACTCAATTATAGTCCACAATTAAATGATAGTTTGTATATATTTGTACTATAAGTGAACTTATAAGTGGACCAGAAGTTTGTGTGTAATAATAAGTTTGTGAAGGACGAAAGAAATCATGACATGCATACCATACAATTTGTTATTGCCATTTAATCCATCCAAGTGCTTGCTTAAGACTCTAACCTGCAACCTTTGAATCACAAGTCTGTCTAGGTAACATCTAGGCCACGACTGACGAATTCTTATGCACTCTTAGCTAACTGGTAGATTTCTGGTGTTATACTTCAAGAGTGTTTCTTTTTTCACTGGTGATAGTTTAAAGAAGACAACTTGTAGAAGCTAATTTGGAATTATCAGAAGTTAATACTGAGCAAATTTTTACAGCCTTGTCTCTGAAATCAACGCAATCTCACGGCAATTCAGAACTTTTTGATTTAGTGGCTAATTCGTACGATCTTATTCATACAATTTAGTATGATTTGCTCATCAACCAATGACGGTTAGGATTAGGGGTGGGGTTGTGTGCTACGCCTCCTTTTTAAAAATCGCACATTTTCATAAGACTGAACTTGTACGAATTAGCCAATAAACTGACAAAACGTAAAATACTTGAAAATCGTCATAGTATGTAAATGTGTGGGAGGATTTGAGTACAAGTTTTTTTACATAAATAGTAATTTATGATAAATGTAAAGGTGGCGCAGTGGGTAGCACAATCGCCTCACAGCAAGAAGGTCGCTGGTTCGAGCCTTGGCTGAGTTAGTTAGCATTTCTATGTGAAGTTTGCATGTTTTCCCCGTGTTGGCATGGGTTTCCTCCGGGTGCTCCGGTTTCCCCCACAAGGCCAAAAACATGTGGTACAGGTGAATTGGGTATGCTAAAATTGTCCATAGTGTATATGTGTGCATGAGTCTGTATGGATGTGTCCCAGTGATTGGTTGCAGCTGCTTAAAACATATGCTGGATAAGTTGGCAGAAAAATAAAGGGACTAAGCTGAAAAGAAAATGAATGAATGATATATAATAGGATTCAGATATAAAATAAAAGTTTAAAAAATGACCTTAAAATGTATTGTTTTTGCGGAAGATAGCTTAATTATGAACTAGGGCCTCTCACAACATTGCTTAAAAAGGCATAAAATAGATTCAAAATATCATTGACAAATTGTCATTGTAGTACAACCCCATTCATAAAAAAACATACGAGAGAGGGAGTAAAATGTAAAACCTGTTATTATTCTACACCAGGGGCGTTGCTAGGGTCGAAAGGGATAAGGGGCTTAGCCCCAAAGACCCCCAACACCACCCCCCAAAAAAAAACAAAGAAAAAAAAACAGTTTCATAAGTTGATCCACTCTAATTTTAATAATAGGATTAGAGATGGTTTAATGATAAATAAATGGTTTTTGAGTTGACAGTCTATAACAATAAATTGTGAAGCTTTGTGACTTGTAACAGGAAGAAAAAAAAAGATAAATTACCCACTTCTTATTTACTATTCTGTTATGAGCCTATTTACTATTCTGAACTGTTAGTTTCTGTTTGTTTTTTGAAAATAAAAATTTCTGCATGTTTTCAAATCTCAAAATATGATTTATTTTATAGACCAAGTTGTTATCCTATGTGATACAAAGCTACACACATGTTTATTTGAACAGAGTGATTAACTGAGGTGTAGTGTTGTCAAGATACTGGAATTTCTAAATTCAATACCTTGCAAAATATTGATATTTAATGGGCTTTTTTCAAAAACAATTGTATCAAAAATAATACAAAAAATAAAGATTTAAATGCTAGAAATGTGTTAACTTCAAATTTCTTTAGGAGGGAGATTTTTAGTTTTCCTCAAAATAGGTTGATGTGGGCATTGTAGCACTTTGAATGCATGTAATGCCTGTTTCATTCACACTTGAGCAGAAATTCCATATATGCCTCACAAAAGTTGTAGAATATTCCAGGAAAACCCTAATATTATGGATGAAGGAATCCAGCTATTGCTGGAGTTGAATGAAAATAAGATCTAAATAAACATAAAAAAGGCTTAAACTGATCATTTACACGACTGTGACAATAAATGTAGATGAAGTCAGAATTATTTGCCCCCCTTTTAATTTTTTTTCCTATTTTAAATATTTTCAAAATGATGTTTAACAGAGCAAGGACATTTTCACAGTATGTCTGATAATACTTTTTCTTCTGGAGAAAGTCTTATTTGTTTTATTTAGGCTAGAAAAAAAGCAGTTTTACATTTTTTAAAAACCATTTAAGGGTCAAAATAATTAGCCCCTTTAAGCTATATTTTTTTCCGATAGTCAGCATAAAAAACTATCGTTATACAATGACTTGCCAAATTACCCTAACCTGCCTTTAAATGTCACTTTAAGCTGTATAGAAGTTTCTTTAAAAATGTCTAGTCAAGTACTTACTGTCATCATGGCAAAGAGAAAATAAATCAGTTATTAGAGATGAGCTATTAAAACTATTATGTTTAGAAATGTGTTAAAAAAATAAACAGGGGGCCCGGGGGCATTAGGTATTTTCATAAGAAAGTCGATTTATAATCCGCTGCTAACTGACAAAGCATGTTACTGTAGAATATAGCCATAAAATAATATGCTAGATACATGAACTCACTGCGATTTAACTATTACAGAAACAGATGTGACTGGCTATATCATATCTAGATAAAGATGTCTATATATATATATATATATATATATATATATATATAGAAAGCAAGTACAATTTACATTTTTCTGACTAATTTGCATGTATTTACATTAATGTGCAGCACATTTTATTGATTACCTATGTTATTTCACCAAAACTACACACATTTTCTGCTGTAATAATATTTTTAAACCATGTGACAACAGAGCCACTCCCACCTGCCGGTAGAAACAGGTACTGCTGAATGGATTACTTTTTAAATACCCGACACAAACGCTGCTTTAGGTAGAATACGCGTGATATACACGTGTTAATTGTCAGAAGTTTAATAACAAAATAAATATTATACAACCTATTTTTATTTAAGTGCAACATATTCCAAAAGATCAGGGGCTTTTGACAATACATCAGGGGCTTAAGCCCCCAAAGCCCCCCCCTCGCAACGCCCCTGTTCTACACAGCACCATTTGACAACAGTACTGTATGTATTTTAAAAATAGCTGTTGTATGGCGCTTTTAAAATATCTACTATATAGCACTGAAAGTGGTTCCCCTGTGATTACAAGCCAACACACCGATTCTAGTGCTACTTATCACCATTTTTCCTTAGAGTAAGCATGCTCTCTTGATTTCAGCCAGTTGTGTATCAGAAAACATCCATTGTAGTTGCTACTGTGAACAGCTGCCTTAATAATGTGGATTCTGATTCTGTCGATTCTCAGGAGGAAATCATCACGACTACAGGGAAAGAGCTGCTGCTTGAGGCCTGCACGCGGACTGGACCCTCAAAAGACTTCGGTGGGCTTCTCCCATGACTCCTCATATGCAGGACTTCAAAGTAACAGGGTGATCGCTGCATTTCAAAGAACGCAGTCCAAAATAAACAAGACTCCATCCTCTGCCTCTGATTCAAAGTGCCTTATGATCAGGCCCCATTGGTGTTATTATTATTATTTATTTTTTATTAATTTATTTATTTTAACTTTTTTTAAGGGTAATATGTAGTAAATGAATCAGAGAGAGCTAATGCTTGTTAGTAAAATGGTTGTGTTAGAAATTCGTTTAAATTGAACAGATAATTAGGTAAAAGATAAAACGTTTTGTAGGCTGATTTTTTTTAATGTTAGAATGTAGTCTGCTTATTCATTCATTCATTCATTCATTTATTGTTTCACAAGAAAATTACTTGATTTACAGAGGACACCCAATAAAATGTCATTGTAACACTAGTTTATATATATATATATATATATATATATATATATATATATATATATATATATATATATATATGTATATATATTGGCAGAAACTATTAATTAAAATATGATCTTGCATAGACACTCTTTTATAGTGACTTCTTGAAAACTCTGTTCCTCTAAGTTTACTGCATTTATTAGGAATGTGTTAACATTGGTATTAGGTCAGATAACATTTTTACATCTAGACATTTAGAGCTTTTTTTTTTCCTTTTTAGAAAATGACAGAATAACAGATGTTTTTATTTATAGTAAAGGAAATCAGGGTTATTCCATCAAATATTGATTTCTCAGTTTTTTAGCATTGTAATGGCAATATATATATATATATATTAGGGCTGTAACGATACACGATATAAAATCGAAATCGCGACACTCAGATCTACGATCCTGTGTCGCGGTGTGATAAGGGAGAATCGCGACACACCCCGTGATACCTTTCCAATAACGTCACGAGTGCCTGCAAAAGTTGAGCTAATTAACACTTTTTTTCGTTCGACATACGAGCACTGCTCCGTTTAAGCCCTCGCAATATTTAGCCGGGAGAGCTCGCACGGAGCTCTTAGTAAGGGACCGTCTGAATGTGTCAGAAATATCAAAAACAAAACCAACTTAACCCCGCTTGACAACCGACAACGCCAGAAACATTGCCAATGCTGTCAAAGCGGCCGGATTTTCAGCGCATATACGATGATTTGCTCACACTGTTAATGTGGCTGCGCAGAGAGGGATGGGCGTTCACCAGATGTCAGGTAACAGCGCAAACTTTTCTGTAACCGTGCTATGCGCTTTCTGTTTGAACCTTTGAGAGTGCTGACTGACAGGTGCGAGATGCGTGAGGTCAGAAAACACGACGAAGCTTTCAGTTAAGATGAACACAGTTTCTATAGCTATACTTTATTTATAGATAAAGGTATATGACTCTGCATATAATCTTGCTGGAGTTTATAGCTGTTTCGCTTTACCTCAGGACGCATTAATGCCGCTCAGAAGGTCTAATCGCTGTTTTAAGTTATTAAGTTAACAACACAGACAGCAACACTTTTGCACAATCGATACCCAGCTGATTCAGTCGTTTCATAAGAGGACCGCGCCCCTCCTTTTTTCCATGTCAACATAAAGGCAGTGAGGTGCGCCTCGTTTTCGGCCACTTGTTTAACTGCAAGGCATACTTAATTTGCGGTACGATAACGTATAACCCGTGCCTACAGACACATTTGCCAAAGAAGCAAAATGGAAGAAGAATATTGCTGTTTGATACAGACCTTTTTATGCTAAACCAGCGCTTATGTTGACCTGGATCTGCGTAATAAACGCAACAAATAGGCTTTACCTTTTATTTTACAGCTTATAAAGCATGTACGCAGATTAATGCAATATCATATTTAAACAACAAAACTGTTTACAAAAAGTCTACATATGCGCGCGTGTTGTTGTTGTCTTTTCATCACACAGCGCGCGCACTTGAACCGCGAGGGAGAGAGAGGAAACCATAGGCTATATCAGGACATAATCTTTAAAATAATGATTTCTATTAAAAATGTAAAAGGTTTTGTGATTATAATAATAACAGCCGGGCAATAAAAAACTGCATATTTTCCGTGGAGCCGGCAATTTGAGGAAGTCTGCGATTTTTATTTGATGGAAGGAAAAAAACATATGATTGGGAAAAAAAAAAGCCTATGCCGGTTATTAAAAAGAATCAGTCAGTATTGTCGTTTTGTAATATAAATTATTATTTAAGTGAAAATAATCTAGGGCAGTCCTTTTTATTTTATTTATTTTATAGATTATTCTGTTCTTCTGTGCTAAACACTGCAGGTGCGTGAAGATGCTCTGTTGTTCTGTTCCGCTATTAATATGCTAACATATAAAAATAAATCAGTTTACTTTTTCTTTGTAAGAGAACTTGATTGAAAAATAATTTTCAACATGCTTGAACCATCTACACAATGGAGTTTAGTTCTGTTTGGTTTTTCAACAGTATTTTGTTACAAAGAAAACAGAAGTGATATAGCTTTGGCTATTCATTTATTTTATATATGGCTATTTATATTGTTAATAATTTGCATATGTAATATTGTTCTTTGATGTTTAGTTTATAAAGATTTTTCAAATGTTATTTAATAAAAAATAGTTTTAAAAATCTTTTTTTTTCCCACCCCACAAAAAAAATAAAAATAAAAAATCGTGATACGAACCGAATCGTGGGTCAAAAATCGTGATACGAACCGAATCGTGGGTTTGGTGTATCGTTACAGCCCTAATATATATATATATATACATATATATATATATATATATATATATATATATATATATATATATATATATATATATATGCGATAGAAAACGAGACACATGTTCTAAATTTTTCTCCATAGTCCTGTATATTTTAAGTACTGTGTAGGTAATAAATGTGTTGTTTCATGTTTACATCTGTTGTTGAAAGATAATGGAACAGTATTTTATTCATACTGCAAAACATGCAACATACCCATATTTAAACATTAAAAGAGACTTTATTCGAATTAAATATCGTTTCTGTAAAATCACTTTTGTAAATGAAATTTGATGTGGGCACAAAAATAAAACTATATAGTTTTTAAAAAATTCTAAATTTTATATAATTAAAAATAAATTGTATTGAAATGTAACAAAATGGGAACAATTTAGTTGGAATCCCATTCAGAAGAATTGTTTTCCAGTTATTGAACAGTTAAAACATTGAAAGACAATCAGAAGTATTCTACTGCTAAGAGTCTGAGCGTTTAAAGTGGCAGATCACAAATTGGCAGTGCACTAAAGATAATCAAAAATAACATTTGACTCTATTTACTCTCCCTCAAGTGGTTCCAAGTGTTTGTGTTCAAAAAAATAAAATAAAAAGTTATTCAGGTTTAAAAAAGTAACATGAGTAAATGATGACAATTTTCATTTCTGGATCAACTATCCCTTTAAAGAGATATCGCTTCACCCACTACAGTGAAAACTGTTGAACACAAAACAAGATGTTCGGAAAAATGTTGGACTGAGGTTTTTTTTTTCTTCTTGAGACTATCTTCCTTTGTCTTTAACAGAAGAAACCCAAAGAAACTATTTGGACACGTATATAATATTGTTTCGTGAAGCAAACAGGCATTGAATTTAAAATGATTTTAATTAGAAAATTCGGTAACACTTTATAATAACTACTATGAATCATTTACTAAGCATTAGCATTTGTTAAGCATTAACTCTACAATAATAAGCATTAGCAGTTGATAACTGCAGCTACAAATGCTGTATTTTTGACTTTTTTTCTTGACTTTATAATGTGCTTAAAATTGTATTTTCATATTTTCATGTTTTTTTTTTTAAACATAACACATTAACACTACAACAAAAAATGTGAGTTTAGCAATTTATTATTCACTGAAAAATATTAAAATGGGTTTACCACAGCAGCTTGACAAATTCAAAAGATTTAAAGAGATAGTTCCCCAAAACTTCAAATTATCTTGTCATTTACTTAATCCTTACTTTTTCCAAACCAAATTAAGAAGAAAACTGGATACCTGTCACCATTGACATTCATAGTGGGAAAAACACTATGTCTGAGGTTGTGGAGACAAACTGTAAACACTCATATGTTGAATTAGTGAAATTCATACACAATGCGCCTCCACTGGAATAAAGAGCAATTTCCAGCAATTTTCAAAGTGAAAGCAAATTTAAAAGCTAATGCTCATGAACTGACATTTTATTTAAAAAAATATATATATGTTGTTTTCTAAAATCTATGTAATGCAAGTAGCACAATTACACTGACATTAGTAAATGTAGTCAAATTACATTTATTTACAATGTAATTTGTGACTTACAGCGTTCCCTTAAACATGTATTTGGTAAAACGTTACTGTGGAAAGCGTTACACCCAACTCTGATCGACATCATTTACTCTGTTGAGTGCAGCTGTCTGTGTGCGCATGTGCAAATCACTATAGCAGAAACATGTACCTTATTCACTGCAAACATATCATGGTATTTGTATGTTATAAAAGTAAAAAAAAAAAAAAAAGACTACATACATCACCTTTAATGTCAAATGCAATAAAAGTAGCGACTGCTAATTGTTTTGTTCTTCAGAAAAGGAAGTAGCCTTGTAATAAAGCAGCAGTGTGAACTCAGTGTGAAACAAAGTATCCAAAAGAAAGCACATTTCTGTGACTGGGGAAGGTCCGATTCACCAACAACAGGAAAAGACAGTTTCCTCTGTCCATCCTTCTGTTTTACTGTAGCTTTTTCCATGAGGGGAAACAGATCTTTCTGAAACCTCCACTGAGAGAAATCAGATCTTCTACACCTCTGACCCTGCAAAATATGTGCACAAAAAAACAATAGAGAGGACAATGGTCCTTTTTTCCCACTTGTTACCACTCTATCTGCCCTGCCAGAACAGGCCACAGTGGTGCTTTTCATCAGGACTGATTGTCAAGGCTGTTCGATCTAATGCAGAGGTGACCATGAAAACTGCAAAGCTCCAAGATCCTAGTTCTGCTTTATCACCATTGAGAAAGGCAATTGTAATTGGTGTGCTGTAAGTCACTTTGAACAGAAAAAGACAGCAACTAAACACTAGAAGATTTATTTATTTTATAGTTGAAGGAGCTGGAAAACTCAGCGAAAAAGTACTAAGGTTCTGGTGACTGGACTACACCGCAGGTTTTCTTAAGAAGTGGACCTCTCTGACCTGAATGTCAAGCTCAGGTGTCATAAACCACAACAAAGTTTCAATTTGAAAGACTTGTTTTTGTTATGTTGTTAATGCTGTTTATTTTTTCTTGCCTCCCAGCTGAAGTCAAAACAGGATCAAAGTTGCAGATGATTTTCCTAATAAAGCCCAAGAGATTCTGCTTTTAATTAGTCCAGTCATTATCCAACTCATAATGCTTTTTGCTCTTTAATAAATACTTTGTTCCCCCCTCAAAGCTAGCTATATGGAAGCTTTGAATGAAATAAATTTAGTTTAAAGGCAATTGTGATTTAGTTTGTTTAAAGCAATTCTATATTTTAACGCAGTGTAAACTTTTTTTCTCAGAATGGCTTCTTACCATTTTAAGATTTAGTACACTTTGATGATCTTTTTTTCAGAATTAAAGTTATTTAAAAATTTTTTTAAAAAATTGCTAGTTTGTACAAATTGATCGGTATTACCATTTCTATTGATTCAGCTAAATTATTAACAATTCTGAGAAATTATGAATTATGAAACAATTGTTTTATAGTTCAGGCTTTAAACTCATAATCATAATGTGATCATGTTTTTATACAAACTGTAACTAGCAGGACATTTAACAAACAAAAATGTAGTGGTTATAAATCGTTATGAATGTGGGCATTTTCAATCCAAAGGAAAGTAATTTCTGAAGTGGATGACAAGTTTTTATATATTTCTATAAAATGCTTAGTTTTTCGCCTAGGTGAACTATTTAATTCAGAAAGGTTACATTTAGCAGACCATAAATGACAGTAAAAAATAAATAAATAAAAAAACTTAGTAGCAGTGTTCCATTTATTTGGTGTCTTTTTGAAATTTATAATCATTAAAGAATTCCAAATTATTACTCCTGTTTCCAGTTTTCAAAACTAAGATATTACAAACTGCTTCTTGTGGACTAAATCAACTTATGATTGATTTTTATTTTAGTTGATTTGAGCTTATGAACAGAGGTTTAATATTATTTGTATTTTGATTTAATAAAAACCTTGTACATAAAAACATTGCTTTTAATGACAAGTTCTCCCAATACTGTTATGCTAAATAAGATGCTTTAAAAGAAAGTTAACTGTAAAATATATTTACTAAATGTATGTAAATATGAATGGGATCTTGATCCGGCTAGGTCAGTTGGCGTTTCTGTGTGGAGTTTGCATGTTCTCCACGTGTTCACATGGGTTTCCTTCGGATGCCAAAGACATGTGGTACAGGTGAACTGAATACACTAAATTAGCCGTAGTGTATGTGCGTGAATGCAAGCGTGTATGGGTGTTTCCCAGTGGTGGGTTGCTGCTGGAAGGGCATACGTTGTGTAAAACATATGCTGGTTAAGTTCTGCTGTAGCTACCAACATCTAATTTTAAGAATAGCAAGCTAAAAATTATATTAATCAAGCATTATATTTGATTAAAAAATGTAATCAGACTGAAATCTAAAGTTAAACTTTTTTATTATCGAGTATAAAAAAAGAAAATAATTAAAATATTTACAAAGACACAAACACAAACTTGACAACAAATGACATCTATATATGAAAAAAATCCCTTCATGGGAAAAAGGCTCATGCAGCAAAATCAGGGCAAATATACTGCATTTTAGTAAATTCTCTATCATGCTTAAACACTACACCATGGCAGAGACAAACACTCCAAAAAGGGACAAAATAGTGCACTAAATACAAGAACTTCTAATGTGTTTTTTCCTTTTCATTTTTAACATATTCTTTTAGCATTTATAAGAGGTCATTTATTTATACCAAGACAAAACTGTAAACAGGAAGAAAAAAAAAGTCTTTGGGCAAAACAAATGTAAGGACAAGAGACATGCATATCATGTTTGGCCTATCAAAATGTAAACACGCATTTTAAATAGTTTGTGCTGTAATGACTGTTAAATGTTTAATTGATAATACAACAAAAAGTCAATATTCTTAGACATGATATGATTGACATTCAAAAAACAAAAGGTTAATTGTGGTTTTGATTCTACACTGTAAAAAATATCTGCTTACAGGCATGTTTCGTGATTCATGTTTGAATTTTTTCCCTATTTATTTATGCTTTTGAATTGCATTATTACCTTGATCTTTTTTCAAACACCGTAAAAAGTTTGAAACAGTGACTTTTATTAACATTTTTAATATAGTTTAAAGTGATATATTGTCTTTGTTGGTACAAAAATCCAAAAATATTTTTAAAAAAACCACATACAAAAACCTTGTAATAAACTGCCTGTAAATTTTCTGTTATATCCCAATACAAATGGATAAAAATTCTAAATTCTGAAGTACTAAAACAACAGTAAAAAGCACTTTGTTAAACTTTTAAGATCAAAATTCGACAGAGCTGAGATCAAGGTCACATGATGCAATTCACAATTGTAAATAAGTGAAAAACACGCAGAAACTTAATAAACAGATATTTTTTCCACAGTGCATCTAGCTAACAAACAGTAAGGACATTTATAAAATCTTTCATGTCAGAGAAAAGGCACAGCCTGATGCTTTTTGCATAGTCACCAAGCAAGAGTAGAAATAGGAGGTAAGTGTTGGCATCTGAAATGCATTGTTGACATTAGAAATAACTAAAATGACTCCTAAATATCTACAAAGTTAATGAGCAAGATTAAGTGCGACATTCAGTTAAACGATCATGAACAGGATGGCCAGAAATAACTTGCTTACCTGTTTCAAGAACTGTTTGAAGAACTTGCTTATCTTTTACATTTCTACTTTCAAATTTCAGTTCTTGGGATAAACGTTTCAGGCAAATTAAAATTCCGCTGTGTTTTACTCTCACACATCTGTTCACCCCAACCCATATGAAGATACTTTAAATCTGGGATGAGACTTGATTGCTTCATATGGTAAACAGATTAACAATGCTTATATGTGAAAAAGGCTTAAATTAAATCTGTTCATCATATAAAGTGAATGCGTCTCAGGCATGAAAGTAATGGTTGAATAGAATTCCAGTGGGAGGAATAGAGATCTCTCAGATCTGATTAAAATATATATTCTTCTGTGTTGTGAAGATAAACTAATTTCTCAGAGGTCTCAAGTTTTTTCTTTGAGTGAATTAACACTTTTCTGGGGAAGAAAATTACGCAAAAGTCTGCATAAATATGAATAGCTACAAAAATAACCAAGCTCAAATTAAAAAAGAAAAAAAAAAAGATATGCACTTTAATGTAATGCATGTAATCCATGCCCAATGAGTGAGGTCATTTCTTAAGATGTTTATTATTATTTTTGTTTTAATCTAAAAAAAGTACTGAACATGCTTTTGTACTAAATGTAGTAGCCCAAAAAGAGTGCACAAATTATTTTGAAGTGTCATAAAAAGACATTTTAGTACAGCCTGGTTGGCTAGTCTGCTTCCTCTAAGGCTAAGATTTAGAATATCACGTCAATTAACATTTTATGGTCCCAACATCTTGCCATTATGTATATAAAGCTTGGTTATTAGTGGTTCCAAAAATAACACTTGTCTTACAAAACAAGTGTGGAAAAATTATGAAATAAAAAAGTGGGTTAAAGGTAAACTTGAAGAAGAGAGAAGGCACATGTGTGACAATATCCAAATGAACATAGGCAGCTGCGTATTCAATATGGTCTTTACAAAGCTGAAAAAGAAGGTCCAGGGTCTTTTTCTCCACAGATATTCCTAAAAATTACTCCTCCACAAAGGGAGGCATGAAACAGTAAGAGGAGGTCCGCATCTTTTTCCATACATTGCCCTTCGCTTGCTTCCAGTTATGAGAGCTCAGTAATAATTAAACTTGACTTTTTCAATGTCACCAATCAGCGTCCTTGCCAAGAAGATCCCCACCATCTAACAGTAAAACAAGGCAGGACAATAGATTAGAATTAAAATATAAAGACATATAAACTCATGCAGAATGGTAGTTTCACTGCAGCAAGACCTACAATTTCACTCAGATGATTTAATGCATTCCAAATCATTTAGCGCTTTAGCGACCGTTTTGTCTTAAATAAAGCAGTGAACTTTAAATCCCACTGATATGAACTGAACATCTACTCTGAAAACTGGACTGACACAGTTTCAATGTACTAGAATGTCTATGTTAAGCTGCTTTGACTCTACATTGCTTTGAATCTACATTGTAAAAGCACTATAGAAATAAATATGAATTGATTTGAAAAAGAATAAAAAAGTTTTTTTTTGGTAATTTCAGCTGTGTGCATAAAAAATATAGTAGACTCTAGATCTTAGAGATAAAAAGGTCCCAACTGAGAGCCATTAAAGCAATATTTAAATACAATGAAAATAAAGCAAAAATTATTAATTCATAGTTAATAGTAGGGATGCACGATGTATCGGCAGCCATATCATTATCGGCCGACAAATGCTATTTTTAATGTTATTGTTATCAATCCAATATAAAAATTAGGGCAATATCTTTAAGCTGATAGGTTACATAATTGTATAGAACTGCCTGCCTTGCACATGCGTGGGTCAAACTTGTTCAGACTCGTCCAGTGCAGTATAACAGAGCTTTTCTCACATTGTTTATTCCTTCAAAGTCCAACCTTGCTTTGTGTGGTATTGCTGTGCATTAACATCACAGTAAGTAACTATGTTATCATTGTAGATATGTTTGATAGTGTCGGTGTGTATTTTTGGTTTAAATCACCCTTAGGAAAAATATTACATGTGTTAACATAATAGCAGAGATGCACACATGCTAAACAACTCGTTGGGTTGTTTGTAATCTAATATGATTATTTGTTTTTATTAATGCGTTGCTAGCCATGTGTTGTTGATGTAAAATTGTATTAAGTTTGATCAGCATATTCATAAATGATTATAATGAGCGCGTGTGCTGGCTATTACCACACACACACACATAATGACTAGTAAGCCGTCAGAGCCTTAACAGCAGCAGGGCAGAGGTGTGCCAGTCACTAAATCCAGCATAGGGGTTCTCAACCCTCCACCACATTCTGTTTTTGTATTATGCACTGTGTTTTCCAAAGTCATCTGTGCTTAATGCTCAGGTGTTGTATCAAAACCAGACTCTCGAGGACAAATCTGACTCTGCTCAGCCTGCAGTTAAAGTCTCAAACTCGCATCGGTTTATCATAAACCTTCCAAATCACAGCAAGGACAAACATAGAAGCATTGTCTGATTGACAAGAAGCATTTAAATGTGTTCAAAAGAATCAAAAAATGCAAAAACGGAAGGAATTTATGCTGCATCAGCTATCGGCCTCCAGATCTTAAGAGTTATTGGTTATCGATTTTGGTCAAAAGAAATCTATATCGATGCATCGCTAGTTAATAGACTTTGATACTTTTGCCAGTGTTTCAACTTTTTTTTTTAAATTCAAAACCATTTTGGCAACATTTTCTTAAAGTAAATATTTTCCCATTTTAGCAATAGTAATGAATGCTCGGATTAAAAAAAATACTAGCACATCAAAATGAAGGTTTTCTACTTATTTTCTAAAACAAAAACAAAAGTGTCATTATGTAAACACTGAAACCCTCACAACTGACCTCTGTATAACATTTTAAATCGAATGCATGAGGGTAAACCTTTACCATTTGCATAATAGCCTTGCTCTTTTTAAGAGACTTTAAGTTTCTCTATGAAAATACCAGTGCTAAGGGTGACATCTAGCTATAAAATAGATTTTCAATGCACTATATTGTCGTTTTTCTTAACTACATACCTGTAGCAATGATATGACTATGAAGACTCCAGCCACAATGTAGAGATTACGGGGAAGCCAGTCCTCTAAAGCATCGATGCATCCTTTGATATAAATGGAACTGCTCCAATCATTCTGAAAAATCAAAACAGTGTGTAATGTTTCTTTACAAAATAAGGTAAATAAATGTATGCAATTAAAAAAGCATTTTATTTAATCTACACCACAACAAGTGTTTCAGTGTATTATAATAAACAGCTTTATTCCCTGAAGAAATTCTCAGCAATTTCCCTACCGCCATGCCAAAAAAAAAACAGAAAGATTACAATAGAAGAGAAGAATAGAACAAGAATATACGTGAAACATACAGATATGGCTGCTGCTGCTAGTAATGTATTTTTTATTTAATGCCATGTCAGCTATTTTCATGACAGGAACCTTTCAACAATAAATAAACAATTTAAAAATCAACAAACAAAAGAATACATAAATAAATAAGATTTTTAGTGTTGATGCATGATAAAAATTGTAAAATCTTTTCTGGTTTCACTTTGTTAAAAATGTCCTTAAAAGGGTTCATTTCATAAAAAAGTCTTCTGGAATCAGTAAAAGCAGGACAGTCCAATAAAATGTGCTTTATAGTAAGGGGAGTTTTGCAGCACAAACACTGAGTAGGGTTTTCACCATGGAGCAAAAAACCATGTGTTATTCTTGTATGCCCAATATGACATCTGGTAAAAACCACTTGATCAAATCTATTCTTAAAATGTCTTAAAATTCTGTGTGAGATTTCAGGCTGGATTTCATGTAATTTATTATTTTCTAATGCATCCCATTCCTTTTGACACTTGTGTAAAATGTAAACATTGATAAAACGTTTCATCTCTGATGAAGGAATTTAGCATTTGTTCACTACTTGCTTCAAAGCATCTTTAGCAGCTGCATCAGCTCGCTCATTTCCTGAAAGCCTGACATGTCCTAGAACCTAGCAAAAATGTGATAAAAATGTGATAAAACTGATTTTGTAATTGGCAAACTTTAGTTAAAATATTATCAATCAAAGGATGATCGTTCTTAGAAGATTCCCTAACTTGGAGGCATGATTTAGAGTCTGTAAAACTGATAGATTTCTTTTGTTGGGCATTTTCTATATACTCCAATGCTAAAAGTAAAGCGCAGGCTTCAGCTGTGAATATGGAGCATTCTTTAGGCAGACTGATGCTGTCGTCCAGTTACCACTGCTGCTGCAACGCCATTTTCCACATTTGAACCATTTGTAAAAAAACAGCTGAGAATATTGGCTTCTAATATCCAAATATTGGCTAATATCTAATATCCAAATATTAGCTTCTAATATCCAAATATTGTTGTCTGAAAACACTGGGAATTTGGGATGAGTTACTCCTTTCTTCAGATGTCCTAAATCCATATTGATTATGGGCTTCTTTAGAGTCCAATGAGGCAGGCACTGAAGTGTATTTGACTTAATATGTCCAGGTTTATGTTTAAATTTTGTAGATGTGGATTAATGCGCACACCAAATGGTCTGATGGTTTTTGGCTTACTTTGATATAACTGTACAACCTGTGGGTTAAAACTGCAGAATAAGCTGGGTTGTTCTTATTTGCTTTTAATTTAACAGCATACTGTAATGAGAGTTTTAGCCGTCTGTTTTGGAGTGAAGGTTCATTGGCTTCAGTGTAAAAACTCTGTAGAGCTGATGTTCTGAATGCTCCCAAAACAAGCTGTAATCCTTGATGGTGTACTGTATTGAGGATCTGTTTATACGAGTTCCTGGCAGAGCCATAAATTATACTCCCATAATCCAAACGGGATCGAATGAGAACTTGATATAGATGCAAAAGTACAATTAAATCTGCTCCCCATTTAGTTTTTGCTTTGCTTTGATTATGTTCATAGCTTTCAAGCACTTGTTTTTTTTAACAACTTCATATGAGGGATGAAAGTCATTTTCAAAAAGATGACCTAAAAACTTGATTTCTTTATTAACTTTGATCGGATCTCCGTTGATAAAAAGTTCTGGATCATGATGAAGAGGTCGCTGGATTTAAAAACAGTGTACAAACAGTTTTTGTTCTAGAGAACTTAAAACCATTTTCAAGAAACCACTGGTTAATTCTGTGAATACATAATTGTAGCTGCCTTTCAATTGTGCTCATATTTTTCCCTCTGTAGCAGATACAAAGATCACCCACATAAAGGCTGCAGAACATGTTTGGTCCAATGATTTCCACAATGCTATTTATTTTGATGCTGAAGAGTGACAGAGAGTATACTTCCTTGAGGAACTCCAAGTTCTTGTTTGTGAGCATTTGATAGAGTATTTCCCACTTGAACTCTAAAGTTCACTGCTGCTGCTAGAGACCTTGACTTTAATTTCAGAACCTTTTACTACCATTTTTTCCTCTTTCTGAAGCAAGTTTAACATTTCTAGGAGGACTGAACTAAGGCAAAACATTTTTATAAACAATGGCAAAGCACAGACTAAAATTAGAATTGTTGAAAATGCACTTACCAAAGTGCCTTTTTCTCTAACATCATACCCGCACTGCGTGTTGAGCACCGTAACCTGTAGAGAAACGTTATGCGTGTAAGAAATTTTAAATTACAATAGAAAAATAATCAAATCATATACTAATTCATTCAAATTATTAATTTAATCCTTTTCAGACAAAGCTTTAAGGCATGTTCTGACCAAAAATGATAACTGTAAACAGCATTTGTTTATTAGCATGCAGAGCAGTTGTCTTCTAAATGCTTGAGTTCTTGAAACCCATCTGATTATCTGTAAAGATATTTATTGTACAAACCGTTCAGTGATTCCACTGATATAATTTCCAATTAATTTTGAACAAATAATAAAACTTTATGCTGCATTTCATGCTATAGCTCTCGTTCTTGTTTGAGCAGTCAAAACACAGTAATTTTATCATAAAAACAGCAACAAAAAAATAGGGGAAAATAGGAGGAAAAAAATAGAAGCATGTCATGCTGGTAACATAAAAATTAAATAAGCATTTTTTTTTATTTACATTGATAGTCAAACCTAAAATGCAATAAAGATTATAAAAAAGCCACAGTTCACTTTAAAATATCCGGACAGGCCAGATGTCAGAATAGTGACCAAAGTGGCAAAAGAAGTTTCTAGGAGAACAATTTCAGTGGCTTGTGGAAGAAATGTCAGTTGACTTCGTTATTCTAAACCTGCACAGAACACACATTAAAATAATTCTTGGCAATGAGCTGGTTGTTCAATGCAATTGCAAAATACATTTTGCAAGCAGAGTCAAACAGGTTTGGGAATGACCTGAGGGTGAACGATTTTTATACAGGCAGGGAGGATAAGGCCACCACTACCAGAGGGAGTCTTCCACGTGCTTAGCCTTCGACATGAAAGCGTAATGGATTCTGTTAAATGTATTTTTATGGCAGTGCAGAATTCTAAAAAAAAAAAATATCATTTTTTTCTGTGATGGGCTGCTGTAAAGAAGAGAGAAACTTACAGCAGGGTCGCTGATGCAGCAGGAAAAGGGCACTCCACATTTCTCTCTGCTGAGGTTATTCTTATTTGAGCAGTTAAAATACACATTCATATTCCAGTCGTTTGGGTGTTTAGCTCCACAGCAATGATTCTGTAAAAAAAAAAACATATTAAAATAAAAGCATGTATATTTAGCACAGTCATTGGCAATGATATTTTTAAAAGGAGTATTATGATTTTTTACAATTTGAAACTTGCTTTATAGTGTAATTGTGTTTGTACATAAAAAGGTTATTCTCTATATCAGTAAACAGTGTCTCTGAACTCCCTCAGTTATACAGTCCTAAATTGTTGTTATTTCCAAAAATGAACGTGTGGGAATATCCTGAAATTCTGGTAGAGCTGCATCAGTAGTAAGCTGCTGCCATTTCCAAACAACATGTTTTACAGACCTAGAATACTGATACATATTTACCAGATTTCTTTACTATTTACATTCACAGACACAACCAACACTGTGTTTCATTCAGATTTTGCTAATTTATTATTGATTGATTGATTAATTCAGCAAGCATTTGCAAAAAGACATGGACGGTGAGTACTGAAACTTGCTTTTTTTTAAAGAAACCATTAAGTTGATATATATGTGGTAGCTGTCATGTCAAGTTTATAGAAAGCATTCATTTTAGTCAATCGGCATATATTATGAAAATGTCTCTCAGAAATTACCAGCTTCTGGAGAGAGTCGATCAGATTCTGCAGATCAATGTCATCCCTGTAGGCCTTCACATTGGCCAAGAAGAATTCGCTGATCCACTCCCTAACTTGGCCCTGGAACACGAACGCCAAAACTGCAGCAGTCAGTTCCAGGAAGAATATGAATCCAATGACTCCAGAGAACTGAAAGCAAGATAAATAATCAGAAGCAGGAGTGAAATTTGACTGCAAACTGAATTTCTTATGTGTCTTATATATATTTCTTATATACATCTTTGATGTCATAAAATTACGCAAAATATCAAACAGAAATGGCATAAATTGACCAGCATGTGTTATTAAATCTGTATAGCGTTGAATGGTTGTACTTACAAACTTAAGGAGGCAGATGTTTTCCCTGAGTGCTCCAACACACCCAGCAAATCCCAAAATAAAAGTGACTGTGCCCACAACAAGCACCCCCCAAACTGGGTCGAAACCATGCAGACGTGTGACTTGAGTCAGATCTGATAAAACACCCTGCAGAGAAATCAAGGAATAAGCAATTTACATTTTTTTATTTTTACTGAACAACTAAAACCTATTTAAACTCACTTTATGTACAGTTTAATGTACAATATTGCAGACTTGGGGTAGTACGATTTTTTGAGAGTCTGCAAGGTGTTTTTAATTGTGAAAAGCTTTTAATTGTGATTATTAAGTGAAAAGTTGGGGCAAAGCAGTGGCACAGTAGGTAGTGCTGTCGCCTCACAGCAAGAAGGTCGCTGGTTCAAGCCTTGGCTCAGCTGGCGTTTCTGTGTGGAGTTTGCATGTTCTCCCTGCCTTCGCATAGGTTTCCTCCGGGTGCTCCAGTTTCCCCCATAGCCCAAAGACATGCGGTACAGGTGAATTGGGTAAGCTAAATTGTCTGTAGTGTGTGTGTGTGTGTGTGTGTGTGTGTGTGTGTGTGTGTGTGTGTGTGTGTGTGTGTGTGTGTGTGTGTGTGTGTGTGTGTGGATGTCTCCCAGAGAGAGGTTGCGGCTGGAAGGGCATGCGCTGCATAAAAACTTGCTGGATAAGTTGTTGGTTTATTCCGCTGTGGCGACCCCGGAGTAATAAAGGGACTAAGCCGACAAGAAAATGAATGAATGAATGTGAAAGGTTTTTCAGTGTTCCTCAATAATGGTTTAAAAGAAGAGCTTTTATTTGAACAGAAGTATTCTGTAAAATTTCAAATGACTTTAAAATCTTTGTTGTATAGACTGTTTGCAATGAAAGATACTTAAACAGACAATGCATACACAAGTTGAATGATCCTTACTAAATAAAATAATTTTTTTATTATCTGTGTCCCCAAATTTTTGCATGATGCTGCAAATTAGAGTTATGCCAGTTACGTTGGTGATATCAATTAAAAGTAAAATTTATGAACTTGACAGGATTATATGCCATTGTACATTGCAGAAAAGACAAGACTCACCTTTTCACTCCAAGCCCAAAAGCCAATTGCAATGAAGGCTGATCCAGCTAGCTGAAAAGCAGAAAAGGAAAGTATACATTAAGAAATGTTGAGACAGTAAAGCAAGTTCAGACAAAAGGAAAACCAGCAATGACGAAGTGCCTGATTATAACATCTGACGCATAAATATGACTAAATGTCTCTGACTCAAATGTAAAACACCAAGCAGCTAGAAGATTTTGGAATAAAGTGTCTTGCACTAACCAAGTATGAATTAAAAACACAATAATATTGTGACACTTCCCAAAAATGGTTTACAGTTGTTTTACAAAATATTACAATGTAATTTATTCCAGTGATGTCAAAGCTGAACATTTAGATGATATTACTGCAGAAATAACTTGTATATGCTGATTTGTTGAAGTCATGTTGCTTAGTCTTTTGTAACATTTATTAAATAACTACGGTAGTAGGGAGAGCTTAACATACTGCAATTTAAGAAAATATATGCAATCACAAAAAAACACCAGCAAATTACGAAAAGATTTTCACCCGTTTGACAAAACGTGCTGCAAATCCTCACATTTTCCCACAATGCAAACAAATTAGTAAAACGCATTACATTTTCTCACAACGCAAACAACTTATAAAAATGCACTGCATTTTCCCCACAACACTTGCAAAAAGAACAGAAGACAACAAAAATATTTCAAGGGGGACCCAAAAACGTGACGGAAACCGCTTGATTCTTTGCTCTTTGCTATTGCTCATTGAAGTTGTAGGTGATCTTTAAAAAGTGAGTTTTAAGTGTTCCATATTATTTTAACATCCTGATTTCCTTGTCTTTTGTATTTCATTAGCCAATACAACCATTGAACTAAATAGCTGGTCTGTCATGTTTTAGGGACCCATTAAAACATTTCCATTGGGTTCTGTGATATTTAAAATTGCGATAAAATCCAGCGCGTTTCTGTAAATTGTTTGTGAAAAAGCAGCTTGTTTTTTTTTTTTTAAATGTGTTTGCATTGAGGATAAGAAAGATCTTTTCTCAATTTGCTGGCTTTTTTTGTAATTGGCTGTGTTTTCTTAAATTGCAGCACATTTATCTCTCTCGGCCACTGTAGTTAACAAAAGGTTAAAAAGACAAAATTGAAACACACCTGACGCATTACAAATGTCATTAGTGGAAGTTTTGATTAAATTAATTTGTGTTTGCTGAGTAAAACAATTACTATTAATAACTCCATAGGGGTGGTTGTGTAAAAAAGAGATACAAGAAAACCTTAAATTTCCATAGTATATTTAAAACTTTGAGTATTAAACTAAAGACTTCATAAATCATATCACAGTGCATGTAATTATCTTAACACATTGCAAAGATAATGACTTTCATTTCTTAAACCATGTTCACTACTGAAAACAGGAAAATGGGTTAAAAGCGGATATCTCAGAACCCTCTAACTCCTCCCATAGAGGACAACATAAACTACTGCAGTACATGTCAGCGTAAATCTGTTTCCTGATGATACAAATATGGAAACACAACGTCATTATGCAGACATTTTCTCTTGATAAAGATGAGTGAGTGATAACTATGGGTGTTAACTTTTGTGAAACAGTCCACCCAGTAAAAAAACACACTCAGAAAGTATGAAACATCTGTGAACAGTGTGAAGTGAAGTGAAACAAATAAACATGAAATGTTAGGCTGGTCTGAGATCATGTTATTGGAGCAAGAGTGGTGGAAAAGGCCAGCAGACAAAGTGTTGGGTGTTATCTTTATGTCAGAACTGGAAGGGAGGCCATTTAAAGATGATCTGCTGTGAAGAGCATAATAATAATTATAATAATAATGTGTGTTTATTGCACTAAAACAAAACATGTATCCTCAACTTACCCAAAATATAATGTTGTAGCTGAACATGAGGTATTTGTAGCAACAGCTGACCTCTGCATTTTCATATCTGTAATAATGCATCTTCTTCTGTAGCACAAAAGGAAAAGACAATTAAAACTGATAACAAAACATGTGAAATTACCTTCATATACTGTAACTTAAAAGGTACACTTAAAGTTGAAATAATGTGGAAGAAAAACCAAGGCTGACCTGATGACGCCAATAAAATTACAACACATAAGCACTTCTGTATTTCACTAATGCTGAATTACAAAATGCTCATACAACACCTCAGCCAAAAGAGGCAGATCTGTCATTAATTTCCTGTCATTATTTCAGTAAAGACTTATACCCAGTTCCTTCCCTAAAATGTGCTAAAAAAATTTGAAGCAAAGTGTTGCGGTGTTATAAGTAGGCCCACACGAAAACTGTGTGCGCAGAATTCCACAGATTTTCCCCAGATTTCTGCAGATTTTTAGCCCATTATTAATTCTGTATATTTACTTGAGTAAATGTGTAAATCTGAAGTTATTTAGTTTTTATTCAGTAATTTATTACTTTTTATTTCATATAGTAAGGTTTTAGTTATGATATTCTGCTGGATACTCCCAAAACAATTCAGCAGAAATCTGCAGATTTTTACCAAAATTCTCCGCAGAAATAGCAAAAAGCGTCCGCAGATTCCGTCTGGCCCTGGTTATAGGTTACAGACATATTACTATCAGGTACATTAAGCAAATACACTCATTGATGCAAGACGATGAGGTTGTGTTGAATCCTTACTAATTTACAAGCTAGATTATATTATACATAGATAACCTAAAATCTCTATAACCATATGAGTTAAAAAAAACAATAATCAATAAAACACTTAATAAATCATTTCCATATTAACTATCCTGTTGTTAATCTGCAGTATATAGTGGAGAAACCAGGATTTACTGGACTCACTGCTTCAGAGATTTGTAAACATGTCTGATACAAGGATTTAAAAATAGCAGGATTTTCCAAAATTACCCAGCAGCTGGCTAAACATCCCGGTTTAATGTGTTATGTTATGAAATCAGAAACATTCCTGTTTACATCACCTGCCAAACAACGTTAACACCAGCAGCTGCAAACAGATCACGGGAAAGTCTCTTATGTTAATCTGGGGCGGAAATTTGCATGTTTGTTTTCTATTTTCACGTCAAACGTGACCAGAAAATATTTTAATGCACCAGAGAGAACTCATAAGGAAATTTTTAATCAGAAATCATTAGACACTCGAGTACATACACAGACAAGATGGCTCTTCCCCCACTTCTTCCTCTATACTAGTTAACTTAGCCAAGTGGCTAGTTGATTAGCAAAGTTGTCAGTTCACTTTTTAAAACCAGCTGCAAAAGCAACTCACATTCATCCAGAACAGTAAGTCTTCACGTTTGACCGATTTTACCAATTGAATGCAGAAATTGCAGTCAGTATTATGATAATATACGTTAATAAATTATGTTTCTGCCATAAACGGCAAAACAATGCTAACCGCTAGGTTAACAATCTCAATACAGCTAGCCAACAAACTTTATCACCTCACGACTAGTCACGACAGTTATTTGCTAGATATATACAGACAAAACACAAATACATATAGTTTTTCATCAATGACTAGTTTAAAACAGCCGTAAGTTAATATATTTAACGTGACGTGGGAGGAGAGCGCGCTTGTACGTGAAACGCGACGCTCGATAACTCGCGTCGTTTTAACGTATTTACAATTTAAAAGCACAAAGCAGAGCGTCGTTTGTACAGTTTTGACAAAACATTTCAGTCCGTGACATGAAATGTCGATTATAACTGCATGAACAATCTAAAAAGGACTCACCTCTTTGTTTATGTCACACAACACCTCCGCCTGGTAGTAATAGTTTGGAAAAAACTAACTACCCAATCCACACACATGAATGCTGGACTTTGTGTGTGAGTGTGAGAAAGACACGCCCGTTGCTTCTCTGCATTAATCACACTGAAGAAAAATGACTCAACTAAACAAAACCACATCTGCTCCACAATGATTTACTAGGGTCTTTCTTCATTTTTATATTTTCTGGTATTTTTACAATACAATTACTTTTTAGGACCACTTGAAAATGTAATAAATACTATCAAATGTAATCAGTTTCACAGGCCTGTAGCCAGACATGTGAAATAGGAGGTTCTTTTGCAAAAATTGGACCTTTTTGCAGTTATTCGCCTCATTTTTTATTTAATTAGTAGGTTTAAATACTGCAGTATAATGGCAGCAATATAAGCTTTTTTTCTGTTATTTAAATAGATTGTTGGATGTTTATCAGAACTGAAAAACTTTTTGATGTACCAAAACATTTCCTTACAAATGTAATAATAATAATAATAATAGTAATAATAATAAATAAATAAATAAATAAATAAATAAAAATCAATAAAATACAAATTTATAACATGATTGTCAATAAGAAAAAAAAAATGGAATCCATTTTTTTCACTAGAAATATTCATTTATTAGGCAAATAACAGTCTGGCCAGCACAATAAACTTTCCTCAGTTAAAATTTGACCATTTGAATGAACAAAAAAATAAACATAATGTATAGCTTCACATTTTTTATAGATTTTTCTCTTAAATTAAAAATTAATGGATAGAAATAGCCTGATTAGTATTAAATTAGTGTAAATAATTAGTATTGTATAGGATTAATATAAAAAATTATCAAAAATTATAAAAAATCTTTTTATTGATCTTTTTTGTTTCACAATTAAGATCCAAGATATAGAATAAGTTATTTGTAAAATGTTTTCAGCAATGCAGTAGGTCAGTAGTGAAAGATGATAACTTTACTTTCTTCAGATTGTATGTTTTCTTGAACAGATATTGGACTCATGAAAAATAATTGTTTGCATTGGCCAAAACTGATAAGCTGAAATCACGACAGCCAACAGAGCATTCCACTTGGTCTTAAAGCCTTCTTCGATTAATTATTTTTACAAATGAGCTCATGTATGCAACAAATTCTAGACCTTTGCCAGTGGGGTTTTCCGAATTAGCAAACCACAAATGTACGGGATTTATTATAATTTAGTGTCAAATATAAATGTTTGTTTTACTCTATAAAGGTCTCATTTCATTCAAATTTTAACAATATGTATTAACATTAAAGGGGTTGTAATTTTTTTAATTACCTTTTTTATTTGTATTAATCTTTGTTGGGGTTTTTTGTTCTCCTATATCCTATTTCTAAATTTAAAAGAAGTGTAGGTTATGAAATAAAACATGTTATTTTATTCAAACAAAATAAATCCTAAGAAACTGGGAATTTTCTTTTCTTTTTTACCACATATATATACAGTTGAAGTCAGAATTATTAGCCCCGCTGTTTATTTTTCCCCTGTAGCGGGGGCACTTTTGATCATTTTGGAAGGGCATCTCTATCCAAGACTAAAAAGGGCATGTGCACTGCACAGGTTGAGCCCCATGTGTGCACATGCCTGGGCTAGAATAAAAGTGTTTTTTAAATTTTTAAACATCCTTTTAAGGGACAAAATGATTAGCCCCGTTATGCTATATTTTTTTAGCGATAGTCTACTGAACAAATTATCGTTATACAATAACTTGCCTAATTACTCTAACCTGCCTTAACCTAATTAACCTAGTTAAGCCTTTAAATAGTATTGTATAGTCACTTTAAGCTGTATAGAAGTGTTTTGAAAAATATCTCGTTAAATATTATTTACTGTCATCATAACATAGTTCTGACTTCAAATATATATACAAATAAAATAAAAACTAAATGTATTTGGGTCAATGCTGCCTGCCACATCAGCTGCTGTGCCATAAACAGGAAGAGATATTCTTCCTTCTGTCCCTCCCCACTCTTTCTATCACTCTTTATCTTTTTTTCCATATAGCACTCACCTCATAGTTACAATAAACACAGTAACAGTTTGCTTTCATTATGACTCACTGGAGTCTCATCCACGAGAAACAGAACCGCAGGTACTTCCTGCTTTGCTTTTTTTTTTTGCTTTTTTTCTAGTTTTCTTTTGAAGTGTTGTTCGTATGAAAAATGTTTACAAAAAGCCAAACATCCCAAGAATGGACACATCCTGCTGCAGAAAACAACAGCACTGTGACACAAAATACATACACATCATAACAAACAATGGCAGAAAAAAAACTGATCAGTATGTTTTCACAATTACAACAAAAACAATGCAACTTAGACATGACCAGATTACAAAATCTTTAAAATCTTCATAATTCAATTAGAGTT